TTACCTATTTAAATGTTTAAAGTTGACTAAAATACTCGAATGAGCACTTTAATAAAAAAATAAAAATAAATCAATTTAATTCAACCCAATAAATTAGACAAGTTAGATATAATATTTATTTGTTTTCATAAAATGCATGTAAAATTATAATGGCAATCAATTTGGCTTCGTACGAAATAGACCATACAAAAAAGTATGGGCTATATGAAAATGAAACAAATCATGAGACTCTTCTTCACGTTCAATACTATTTTTCTTAATTGGTTTCAAAAAAATCAATCAATTACCTCAAATAATGAAAATAAATATGGTGAATTTTGATTATTAGAATGTAGTTATTCTATAATCGAATTCTGAAACCGAGTATATTGTAGTAAATATTATGACAATAAGTTTAGATGAATTTTTTTTATTAAGTTTATTTACGGAAGAAAAAAAAATCGTCATAGTTTCTCTCTGATTCATCAAATAACCAAAAAATCAGTAACCTTTTCGTCGGCCAAGGGTATGCCACCAGGGCCTTAAAATAGTTTAAGGGAATCTACTTTTTTAATTTTTATTTTATGTACAGTGTAGCGAAAATTCACGAGTACTGAAAAGGAAAAAAATATTGACATATTCAGAGTTTATTTAATATAAATATGTAATACAATTTTAACATATTAAAAACAACGGTATATTCTATTTATTTACTCATTCTGTACACAATGTACTATTAGAGTTTTTTTATCTATGACATAATGCAAAGATGTATGTAGGTGTGCGTGTTCTTAAAACATCCATGTATCTTATAAGATGATAACTGAAAAATCAGTCACCTTAAGATTTTGTTTTGGTCTTATATATATATTTGGCCTAGGATATGACACCAGGGGTTTTTAAAACACACAAAGAAACAAAATCTTTATTGTTATTATTATTTTGATGAAGATTGTGGCCACAAATTGATTTGAATAATAATAATAATAATAATAATAATAATAATAATAATAATAATATAATTATCTAAAAAAATAATTACATTTTTAATAAATTACATCTTACTTAATAATTCTCACTCATGTACTAATTAACCCTCTATCATGTTCATTCATTTTATTTATTGACTACTAATATTTTTATGGTGTATAGTTATTATTATTATTATTATTATTATTATTATTATTATTATTATTATTATTATTATTATTATTATTATTATTATTATTATTATGTAAGACAAAATAATTCGAGTTATATGGAATTAGGGACCATTAGATATTAATAATTTTTAAACACCATTAGGTATTAATAGTTTTTAAAAACCATTAAATTTATATATTGTTAACAAATTATTAGTTTATGTAATAATACTGAAATGAATTCTGATAAGTGAGATTTTGGTTCGTATATTATAAATTAAAGGAATGTAAATAAGAAAAAAGTTCACTAAAAATAACTAATTAGAGTATTTGAAAGATATTAATTACTAATAAGATCAATTAATAATTATAAATGATAAATGAAGCAATAATTATGTGTTAATACATTCAATTCTTATTAATAATTTATCTTTAAAATCATTATTTTTTTAACTAAAAATTATAAATGTAAGAAATTATTAAATAAAGTTATATAAATGTATGAATTCAAACTCTTTAATGAGGCCATTATCCCCACTATAACTTCCAGTAAGCATTAATGTGCATTTAAAACTCATTTTATATTCAATGGCTCGTAACCTCACTAACTATCATGATTTTGTAAATAAAATAAATAAAAAATGACTGAAAAAAAATTCGTAGAAATTTTTTTTTTTAGCATAAAAAAAGCGACACATATTTTGTGTGTAATTTATATAATAAAAATTATAACACAGATTGGTGAGTAAATAAGGGCATTTTTTTTAATTTTATTTTTAAAATTCAAACAAAAATTGAAGAACTATTTTTTTTAGATAAATTTGAGAAAGAAACAAATTATTTCATAATATTAATTTTAAATTGTTTAAAATAGAAATGGACGAAAAAAAATAACTTCATCATATAAAAAAATAAAATAATACATTTTTATCCGTTTTTTATGTTTTAGTTTTCAAATTCTTATAAAACATTTATTAAATTAAAAAAGAAAACTTAAATTATATTTAAAAACAATAAATAACGGAAACACTCTCTCTTATATATTCTCACCGCTCTTTTAAATATGTATTTCCACACGTTATTCTATCAATTAGTAAACTTGTTTTTCTCAACCACAAAAAATTATCATACTTTTATTTTATTTGTATATTTTATGTGTTTAATTGTTGATCTCTTATAATTTACCTCCGTTTATCTCTATCAAGAATGCTGTCAACAGTTTTCTATTAAATATATTTTTATAAGAAAATATAAATTACATACCTAAATACATTTATCTATTATGATTTTGAATTATATAAAACAAACTTTTACTGGCTAAATTTCATATTCTCCTAACTTATGAAACATCTCTCTTTTTATTTATTTTTTATTTTCTTCTTGTTTACAATATGAAACAACTTTTTGGTACCCTATTAATCTAGCTGGTTTCTTCGAGTGGCAATCGAATTTTAATCGACAACTGACTTTAAAAATAAAAATAAAAACTCCTTATGAATAACATTATTTTGTGGATGAAGATTAGTTTACAAAATTTAAGTTTATATCATATAAAATAACACTAATAATAATCAGTCATAATAAGAATGAATTAATATTTTAGATGAAATCTATTTATTGGTTATTTTAGAAATGAACTTCACACACTAACACTTTTGGTTTGAAAACCACACAAACACTTGCATATAATATTAATAAAAATCCACAATAAATTCAATAATCGTTTTATTATTCGTTGAAGTTTCTGATAATAGATATTTCAGAAATATGAATAAAACATCGTAAATTATTTTATATTAGAAATAAAATACGTTTCTATAAATAACAGACCATTTTGAAAAAGAAAAGAGAAAAAGAAGAAGAAAAAAGTCATAATTCAATGCATTTTAACAGAAGATACACAATAAAGTGTTGCAATAACATATATATCAAATGTTATTAAAGGATTTAATTGCAGGCAAGCAATTAAAATGATAACTTGATCACATGATGATGATGATGATGATAGGATATGATGGGGTCTTCTTTTTCCTCTGTTTTTTAGTTAGAATAAAAATTAATGAAACAAATAAAAGCAAAAAAGAACATAAAGTATATATTATTGTAAATTAGACTTTCAAGACGTTTTTACTTACTGAGGAACATTATTGTGAAGCTCTTAGGGTTGATTTGATTATTTTCAATTATTCTTATTTTAAATTATTTAACTTTTAAAATATTTTTAAAAAAATAATAAGATCATTCATATTTATTCAATTTTAATTTTGTTTTACATAGATTCATAAAATATTATAATTTTCATCAAATAAAAAATATTACCTATAAAATAATAACGTGGACAAAATGTATTTATGCAAAACTTAAAAAATTCCTAATGTGATTTTTTTAAAAATAATTATTAAATTAAACTGATGTCTTATAAAAATTTGAGCTAAGAATATATCGATGAGGACCGAAAAAAAAAACATGATGTCTTATTTATACAACGTTCCGACCAACACACGTTGATATCAATCAAGAGCACATTATAGACCCATAAATATTGTTGTATTCTATCATTTTTTTTAATTTAAAAATTCAATTTTGATATATCATTACTTCAAATATGATTCACAAACTAATATTTTAATATAAATATCATTTATTTCATGCAACTAAAGTTTATGCGAAATAAGTATTAAATATATAAATTATATCATAATTATTTTTTTAATGAATAAATAATTTCAATATATAATCTATGTACTTTAAATTTTATATTGTAAAAAATAATTATATTATGATTCATTTAGAAAAAAATCTGTTTAAAATAAACATAAGAAAATATATTGAAAGAGATAAAACAAATCTCATAATTACTCTCGTTCAAAGTCCTAAGCACACTCTTAATTTAAAAAATAATAGTCCCCAAATGATTTTTGTAAAAAAATTTAATCTGTAAACATTATTATTGAAACAGTCTTCATAGACAATTTAGTGTACCATGTTTTGTTATCATTCTCATAATTCTGTTCCAAATTTTTAAAATTTAATTGATTTATATTTAATGCAGTAAATACTAAATATTAAACTACTCATATTTGATATTTTAAATATTAGTTTATTGAAATTTAATATAGAAAATATTAGTTATTAATTTACTCCTATTCAGTATAGTAAATATTAGCACTGAATATAAAATCATAAACTTATTTCTATTTATGTATCTTCTAAAATGTACATTTAATATTTAAAAATTTTAATAATAATGTTTGTAATTCTTATCACTAATATTGATGACATTAAATTTATTTTTAATATTATGTATGTTTATAAATAAATAATTATATAAATAAATATTTTACATACTTTAAATTAAAGTACTAGTTTAATAAAAAATCAGCACATGTGTCTCCCTTCATAAATAATACATGACCTTCTAAAACAAAAAAGGCTTCATAAATATATAATAAATAAGTATGAGATATTGTGTGAAAGCAAAATAAAAAATAATTAAAGAATACCTACATAATATAATATGTTAAATAAAAAATTAATTTTAATCTTATTATTTGTGATATTTTTTAATTAAAATATTTTTATCATGATTTAACAATGAAATACATAAAATAGAATAATATATATATAAAAAGAGGGAGAGAGGGAAAGAGATGAAAAAGGGAAGATAATAATGAAATGAGAGCATAGTGGATGAATGCGTGGATGGTTTTGATTGGAAGGGGTGAAGGCAGGGCAAGGCCCCAAAAAGAAGAGATGTGAGCACTACTTAACCCTCTCATTTGCATTCTCTTTCCCCACCGCACAACAACAATCCTTTCTCTTGCAAATTCATTTCTCCTTCACCCATCTCGCACACAACACACACCCATATCTCACTCAATGGAAGGAGAAGGATCCGGTGTGGTTACCGTCTATGGCAACGGCGCCATCACGGAAACCAAGAAGTCCCCCTTCTCTGTCAAAGTGGGTCTGGCCCAGATGCTCCGGGGCGGCGTCATCATGGATGTTGTCAACGCCGAGCAGGCCCGTATCGCGGAAGAGGCCGGGGCCTGCGCGGTCATGGCCCTGGAGCGTGTCCCCGCCGACATCAGGGCCCAGGGAGGCGTGGCCCGCATGAGCGACCCACAACTCATCAAGGAAATCAAGCGGGCCGTTACCATCCCAGTGATGGCGAAGGCCCGCATCGGGCACTTCGTGGAGGCCCAGATCCTGGAGGCCATCGGCATCGACTACGTGGACGAGAGCGAGGTTCTGACTCTGGCGGACGACGCCAACCACATCAACAAGCACAACTTTCGCATCCCCTTCGTCTGCGGCTGCCGCAACCTCGGCGAGGCCCTCCGCCGCATCCGCGAGGGCGCCGCCATGATTCGCACCAAGGGCGAGGCGGGCACCGGCAACATCATCGAGGCCGTGCGCCACGTCCGCTCCGTCATGAGTGACATCAGGGTTCTCCGCAACATGGATGACGACGAGGTCTTTACCTTTGCCAAGAACATCGCCGCCCCCTACGACCTCGTCATGCAGACCAAGCAGCTCGGCCGCCTCCCTGTCGTTCACTTCGCCGCTGGCGGCGTCGCCACTCCCGCAGACGCAGCCCTTATGATGCAGCTCGGCTGCGACGGCGTCTTCGTCGGCTCCGGTGTCTTCAAGAGCGGTGACCCCGCCAAACGTGCCAGGGCCATTGTTCAGGCTGTCACTCATTATAGCGACCCCGAGGTTTTGGCTGAGGTCAGTTGCGGCTTGGGAGAAGCCATGGTTGGTATCAATTTGAACGATGTCAATGTTGAGAGGTTCGCCAATCGCTCCGAATGATTCTTCTTCTCAGGTCTCTGGTTCTCAGATTCAATCTGGATTAAGGTTTTCCTAGTGGTTTTAGGTGTTTCATATTTTACTTTGGTAAGAATAAGGCTATGTTTTTGGTTTTTGTTGTTTGAAACCTTGTTAGACAAAAATAGATAGCTATTTGTGACTGCCCTGTAATGTGCTGATATAATATTCAGCTTCCTGGTGCTGTTATATCGTGATAGTTCGTTCGTGGTATACTGAAATCAAACCATTCTTGTTCGATATTCAATCCTATTTTTTATTTTCTGGTGTTATTTTGCTATAGGTGAACGAGTCTGATTTGCAATTTAGTGTACTGGGTTACACCATTTTTATTTAGCTGAATATCGATTTTGTATCAGTTCACTTTGTAGTTTGTGGGGATGTACTTATGCGGTTTCTACTGTCAATGAGTCAATCAATTGACGATCTTTCTCTCATGGATTATCAATTATATTTTTAGGTCATGATTCTTTGATTCTTGCCACTAGATAACTTCTGTTGCAGGAAGATTGAATTGGGATTTTTGTTCCTTTTTTTGTTAATCGAACTTGGATAGAATTGCCCTTCAAGCTGACTTTGATGTCACAATTTCTTTTAGTTCTGTTCTATCCTATAGGTTGTATATAGCTGTTTCTTTCCTAAGCCTATATCCAGTACAATTAAAGAATCTATTTCAAGGTTATTTGAGACTTTCTTTTTTTGTTTATAGCCTCCTCCTAACTCCTTAATTATGGTGCTTCAACAATTGAATCATTTCATGATTCCTATTGAATTGGTTCAGCGATTGAATCTGTTTCATCCTCTTCATTTGGTTAGTGAGATTTTTTAATTGGTGAATCGGTATCTTTTAAGGTTATTTGAGACTTTTTTGTATACCTCCTAACTCCTTGTTGAAAGTCCCACATCGTCTACCTCATGTAATTTGGTATGGTTTAAATACATGATATGCTGCTTTACATATTGCCAATTGGTTTTATGTTGGAATCTTAACATGATATCAGAACCAAAGCCTAACATTTTTCCCGATTATTGTCATGGGCCAAAAGTTGCCCTTTAGTTAGGTCAAAAGTATCCTTTGTCTGGTCCGGCAGGCTTCGTTGGAGGGGGTGTGTTGAAAGTCCCACATCGCCTACCTCATGTAATACATGTTATGCTTTATGTTGGAATCTTAACACTCCTTAATAAGGTGCTTGAACAATTGCATCTATTTCATGATTCCTCTCATTGGTCATTGGTTCAGCTATCGATATTTTTTATGGTTATTTGAGACTTTTTTGTAGCCAGCTCCTTAGTTTGAACAAATAAAATCTATTTCATCATTCTTCTTGAATTGGTTTAGCTATTGAATCTATTTCATGATTTGTGTTTATTTGGTTATTCTTGTTGGAACAACTTTTACTGGAATTTGCGACATGATTATTGGATGATTATTCATGATTAGTTAATAGATAAGGGCTAGTACACTCAACGAATCAGTTTCTTTTAATGTTGTTAAGGTCCTTTTTTAGCCTTCTAACAGGCAATTACGTGTTTCATTGCCGGAATCTATTTCATGATTCATCGGTTTGGTTAGTGAGATTTTTTATTTGATATTTATGTCATGCTTCTTGATGATTATTAATGATACTGACTTTTAAAGTATCATGATTAGTTGATGGATCAAGCATCTTAAAGAATAATGTGATGATCAATGGGAGGTTCTTCATTAATTATCATTGAATTAACTTTTTAGTGGAATTTGGGTTATGATTTTTGGACGGTTATAAATGATATTGACTCTATAACTAATATAATTGGTTAATGGATCAAACATCTTAAAGAATATGATGATCAATTGGAGGTCCTTTATTCATTCTTATTGGAATGACTTCCATTGGAATTTTCGTTATGATTTTTGCATGGTTGTTAATGATATTGATTCGATGAGTATCATAATTGATCAATGGATCAAACAACTTAAAGAATATGATGATAGATTGGAGATTTTTTATTTGTTCCTTTTTAATGGCTTTTAGCGGAATTTATGTCATCATTCTTGAATGGTTATAAATGATATTGACTCTTTTAAATATTATGATTGGTTGATGGATCAAGTGTCTTAAAGAATGTGACTATGGGAGGTTCTTTGTTCTATCTTTGAATGACTTTTAACGAAATTTTCATAATGATTCTTGAATAATTATTAATGATAATGATTTTTCAAATATCATGATTGGTGAATGTAGAGTGTTTGAATACTTAGTGAATTGATCCCTTATAAAGTCATTGAGTTTTTTTTTTTTTTTTTTTTTATACTCTCTTAACTATGAGTGATAATGGCCTAATTTATTTCATGATTATTGTTATTAGACTTTGAATAATTCTTAACGAAATTTGTTTTATGATTCGAGGATATGATTCTTGGATGATCATTAATGAAATTAACTCTTTTAAGTTCGATGATTGGTTGATGGTTCATCGCAATTAAGGATTCCATTTTGGAATTATTCAATTATTGATAATAAGTAAAAAAAAAAATTCTAAAAAAAGGTTGAGAACAACGAAGGGAACTTCTAAATTGTTGGGCCTCCTGTATCAAAGTTTTATACTTTTTTAGTAGCATAATATCAGTTGCTGTTTTTTGAGTAGCTTGGTCTTAGCAGTTTACTGTGACATTAGTGTTGGGTTACCCAAAAATCTTCTGGTGAAATCTAACGGAAACGACAAGGAATAAAAGAACATGTAATGAAAATGTTATGCTAAACGTGTACAGTGGGATGAATTATTTTTGTGCATGCTTCATTTTCTATATTTTTCTTTTCCAGCCTTTATGCATTTATTATTATTATTATTATTTCCCCTTCACATATGAAACTGTTAATAAAATATATAAGAGAAATGAATATCATTACATGTAGGATTGTGAAGTCACTTTACTAAGTGCAGACAATTTTTATATCTGAGATATAAAAACGCATGAGAATTTGCAATTGTAATTCTGTAATAGAATGCAGAATTTGTCGCTTTTGTCACATTGCTTGCTCGACTTTCGAAGGACAGAAACCCTTGAGAAATCCAAACTGTACCGCCTTTAGTTAACTACCTTTTACCAGCTTTCCATCTTGTCTTCTACTACGCTTTTCATGTTTTCTAAATTATTAAAATTAATATAAAGCTGATGCTGTTAAAAGAAGGTTGATGAAAGAGATAAATATGATGTTTAGTGGTGAAATTAACTTACAAGGGTAATAAGTCAAGTTAGGAACTGAAAAGTTGAGAGAGCGTAAATGTTTGATAAAATTAGTCTATGAAATTATATTTTAATACTTTATATAAGCTGCTTTGATTTTGGTCTTTGTTCGAGTAAAGAAAACTGTTAAATATATGATACATGATATTGAATTCAATTTTAGAATTTGTGTATGAACAAAATATTAGGGTTGCCTCGCTTCATTAAACCATCCAGGCTATTAATTTTTCGCTTATCAAATGATGTATAGCAAGGGCCCTCATGGACAGCCACTCCATTATCTCAATCAAGAGGATTATCCGTCCTTTCTCCATTAATTCCAATGAAGTCGTTTTTGTTTTAGAAATTTTAAATTTTATCTTACTCAAAACAAAAGAAGATATTGTTACAAAAAATATATTTAACATGGATTATTTTAGATTTTTTTCATTAATTTTTTAACTAACGTAAATATTACAGATATAAAAAGTGTTTCATTTTCTACATTAATTATAAGATTGATGTAGAAAAGTGATATATGACATTGATTAGTTAAATAATCGATGTAAAATATGTTCTAATGAATAAAAATGATTAAAAAATAGATATGAAAATTGAGGAATACTACATCGATTATGATCAAAAATAATGTAATATAAGATATTTGATATCGGTTATAACTTGAATTGATGTAGATTGTTGGAGATATAATATCGATTCCTAGCCTAATTGATGTTATATACTCAATATATCATATCGTTTAAACAATAACCGATATGATATGTTTCATATTATATTAGTTTAGTTATAATTGATGTAATATGGATTTTTTTTTAAGTTACATTATTAGTTATCATTCTAGTATCTGTAAATTCAAAATTCGAAAGAAATAACCAAACAAGTTCATATATAATGTTATCTAAGAAAAATACACAAATACTAATAATTATATCCACAATTACCCTATAAAAACTACACTAATCCTCCACTATTTTTAATACTTTAAAAAATACTAGTCCATTTTTGTCTTATCATTATAAAAATCTAAAATAAATATACTATAGGTACTATATTTAAAATAATATGGTTATTAATTTAAATTAATTATTACCGGGTCTCATTAATCTATAATAGACACACAAGCTATAAACATGTTATGAATAATTTGAATGTAAAGTTATATACTTAGGATAAATTCTTCAGTAGATGTGATGATGAAGTGGATACCATTTATAATATGACACATTTATAACATTATATAAAATAAAATTTTAATAATTAATAATTAATAATTTATAATACTTTGATAAAATATAAAAAAAGTAATTAAAATGATACCTTTGTACTAAAGTTTAGAAGTCTACGATTGATTTTTTATGTTGTGAACAAAATCACACAAAAGTATTGTTTATCGAAATTAATATTATCAATTATCATCAATATATCACGAATAGTCACATGTAGAAGTTTTTGTTTAAGGACATGACAATCATGGGATTTTAAGCCAACAAGTTTCAAATCTTGAATTGAGATGTGATTCTTAATATTTGAAAAGTATCCTTACGACACTTTGACTTTACGTAAGCACTTACAAAAAATATTTCTGATGTATATGACATGCTAGATGTTAATATATTATTTTTCTTGTGGTTGTAACTCTAACCGTAGGTTCATCTCAACAAGATCTTTGTGTGCATTTACACCATATTTCATCTTTATTTTAGTGTTCAAAAGTGTGTTAATTATATTATCACAAATATTCTTTTCAACAGACATCACATCTATACAATATTTAATATCTAACTTAGACCAATATGGGGGTTCAAAGAATATAAATTTCTTCTTTCATATGTTTTTTTGAAAATACTTCTTTTATGTTTTCCCAAGTATAACATTCACGTTTCTAACATGATCATACACTTGTTCACGAGTTTAAGATATTGGAGTTGTTTCATCTTCTTGACATCCATTAAAGGTCTTTTTTAGTTTACGGTATAGATGATTACATTCTAAAAATTTATGATAACCGATATAAGAAGTCTTTTTTTCCATGTTTCAACTGATGCTGACTAGTTCCTTTTTCACATATAGGACATGCATGATGTCGTTTAATATTATAATCACTCAAATTTCATATGTTGAAAAGTCGTTAATGGTACAAAACAAAAACACGCAATATAAAATTCTCCTTATGATACGCATCAAAGATATTAACTCCTTCCTCCCACAATAATTTGAAGTCTTCTACCAAGGTACACATCTATACCATTTTCTGGTTGTCTTGGTCCTAATATCATCATAGAAAACATTATATATTTTAGAAAATATTATATATTTTTGCTTCATTCATGCATAATTAATCAGTAAGGTAAGTTATAAATGATAAGCAAAATAAGCCAAGAACTATATTTACTACTTAAGTTACTGTAACGATTCATTTCATATGTTGCAAGATCAAGTATAAGTTTCTTAGGTCATTTATAAACTCCAATAACAAAGAGTCAATTTTCTTCTATTGTGATGAATCATCAGTCTGGTGTAACAATCCATCAGATTTTTCTACCATTTGCATGCCACGTAAGGTTCAATGAATTATTAACATTAGCAAACAAACACTTGAACATTGAAATAATTGGAAGGTACCATAATAATTTCACAAGAGAACCCTTTTCTGTGTTGACATCAATCTTCATTTTTCACTTTGTAGTGTGAAACTTCACACCTAGGACAATTATGTAATGCTTCAAATTGTTTTCTATATAATATGCAATCATTAGGACCAACATGTATTTTTTTATATTTCAAACACATTGGACACAAGATTTTATTAACTTCATAGTGATGGATGGGTAATGTATTACCTTAGAGTGACATTTCATTCAACAATTTAAGTAATTTAATAAATATTTTATCAATTCACTTATTTCTTGCTTTAATATTTATCAATTATAATACTTGTTGATAAATATATGAAATGTGTATAACTCAGATATAAAGACATTTTTTAATCAATTTTCAAGGTTTCATATACATGAGTTTGTTGAAAAAATTATTGTCCAACTTCATAAATTATATTCTCTAATTGATAATTGACATTCATATAAAAATATTGATATTTAAACATGCTTGGAATGATAAATAATTCAATATATGTCAAGTCTAAGTTATATAACTATATAAGAAAAGATTACGGAGAAGATGTTCTTATATTAATTTAACTTGTAATTAACAAACTTTTTAAATTATTGACTATTATTTTCAGTATTTCTCACTTATTTGATTAAAATTTATTTAATGATCTATAATTACGTAATGACATTATTTATAATAACTTATTTTATATATAAAGATATTTATAATAATTATAAATTAAATTTTTAATTCTAAATTATATATTAAATTTCTAATTCTAAAATTGATTAAATATCTAATTTTAAATTAAATTCCTGATCCATAATTTAAAATTAAATCTCTAATTATATACTGACTTGGTGATTCTAAATTAAACCCAATCAAAATTAAATCCCTAATCTCCAATTCGAAACTAAACCTGAAATTGTAATTTAACAAGCAATTAACATATTGTCAACAGCCACAACTTAAAAATGAGAAATGGTGTGCAAAGTTCTTTAAACACGATGGTGGGTACCGTGGTGGGTAACACGGTGTTGAATTGCAAACATTATAAGTGATACAGTAAATGATAGCAAATAAGTGTGGCACAGGGGTGACGTAACAAACATGCCACAATCGTATGTGGTACAATAAATGTGACATGATGGTGATGATACAAATGTCAAACGATGATATCAAACGGTGGTGAGTGCCTAAAATGTAATAATAACACCAATGACATAACACACGGTTAAGAATGGGCAACAAGTGGTGACGTGGTGTAATACAGCTGACAAAAGATGAGAGCCAAGTGCGGTGGGAAAGGAATGAGTAAAAAAAAGGAGTTCGATTATTTTAAGAAATACTGCATACTTCCCTTAAACAAATATAATATCTTTTTCAAATTTTAAAAAATGTGACCGCAACTTATTATCATATTTTATTATAAAATGTCTTCCCTGCAGTAAGATCACGTTTTTCCTTGGTTAGTCATTTCTATAGGTGTCATTTATTTAATCAAGAGATAAATTATCAAACATATACAAAACTGCCATATTCGATTTCAACTCTAACAAACATAACTATTGGGCCATGGCCCAATGGAAGTAAAGTCATTCTACCTTTGTAAATGGTACAAGCATTCAAATTTAGGATAAGTTTACTTTTGTTTTTTAAAATTTTAAAAAAATTAATTCAATCTTCTACCCAAACGTTCAGCCTAAATGTTGTATAAAAAAAATAAATAAATAATATATATATATATATATATATATATATATATATATATTATAAGCGTTAAGTTTTTAATTGTTTAACATCTGCTTAGAAGAAAAAAATAAAATCATTTTTTCATAGATTAAAATAATTTATACATCAATTAAACAAAATTGATGAAATAATTTTTATATAAATAATTTTAACTGATAGAACAAGTTAATTTTAAAATTTTCCTTTTCAAAATTCTTTATGAAAAGTTAGTTGAAACTTATCCTATAAATAACATAAAATAACTAGAATAAAAACTTTATATATCTATTTATTATTATTATTTTATAAAATAACTAAATTATCAAATTAATTATCTATTCTTATAATTAACTACCAGTGGAAACATATGTACAGTATTTATATGTCCAATATTTTCTATATAATTAGCTTTTTCTAAAATATTTTTATTTTTATTTTTATTTTTTTCTCTCATTTTTAAAAAAATTCTAAACTATTTCCTTACTAATTATATATTGCATATGTTTTTCGTATATTTACTATTTTTAAATATATAAATTATAATAATTATTTATTTTTAAATTGTGATGCTTTTATTTTTATTTCATGATAAAAAAAGTGGTTAAAAAAACTCATTATATATAATGGTTATAGATTAATATATATATATATATATATATATATATATATATATATATATATATATATATCATAATAAATTTTTTAAATTATAATAATTTTATGTTTGAAGGAAATTGTCATTGTGTATAATTATAGATAAGATTGTATTAGTAAAAAAAAAATTATAGATTTACTTCATTTTCTGACATCTTTATCCTCTTTCCTCAAATCCCCAATTGATTTTTTTTTCTTTAGTGGTCTTCCACCATAAATAAATCTAAAATTGTCTTCTAAATTTTGACTTGAATTATCTCCTTTAACTTTGTGATAGTTTTTATTTTATTGACATATATTTTGACATTTACAATACTACATTCGACCTGTGAATGCCATAACAATAAATTATAATTTGGAGAGTCATGCTCTTAGGATCATATATACTTAGATTATTATCTACAAAAAATGCCAACTGAAAATTAAATTAATTTTATCTAAGGATCGATTTAAAAAAAAAAATTATAAATTAGTGAACAAATTTAAGTATTATTAATAGAATGCTAAAACAGTTTGACGGGATAGAACATCGGTTCATTTAAAAAATAATTAAATGGATTAATAATTTTGACCATTAATTTATTTTGATTTATCTTACTTAATCCACTAACTTGATAAATAAAAGATAAAATAAAACGAATTAATCTATTTTGTCATTTTAAGTATTATAATATTTTTTTAATAAATAAATCACTCGAAGTTTAATAAATTATTCTTTCACATCTTACACATGATCAATTTAAAAATATATATAAGATATTAAAATTTATATATAAAACAAGACCTAAAATCTAAATAATAATAATAAACCTAGTAATGAAATAAATGTTTAGTAAATAAAAATAGACTTGCTCCCTTAAAACAAAAAAATCAAGAATAAAAGTATAAGTTCAAATTCGCACAATAAATAAAAGTTAAACTGGTTGCCCTTGAACCAAACTAAAAGTATAAGTTTATAGAAGAGAAATTGTAATTGAGTTAAGTTAGTTGTTCTGATGGAAAGTAATAAAGACCTAGTCTCACGTTGGAAAAGTTAAAAGACAAAAAAATATATATGAAAGTGAAAGAATCATGAGTAAAAAATGTCATTATATTTTTTAACAAACAAACTAAGTTGAAAGCAATAAAATCCTAAACCCTAAATCAAGCAACCTTAACTAACCCACCTTTTCTGTCTCCTAATTGTTTCATCACTCAAAACAATCATACTTTTGTCACCATTATTTATTATTATTAATGGAAAGAATTTCCACCACAACTACAGTTTATACCATTCATACCAGTGCTTTTGGACTTAATGCCATCTTTTAAAATTTAAAGTTAAACTAGTCCAGAATACTCACGTTTTACAAAAACTCCACTATTATAACAGCGTCTCCCGTTTTACAAAAACTTCACTATTATAATAGCGTCTCCAAAGTGAGATTTTTAAAATAATTATTTAAAAATAAAATTAAATATTTCATTATGTATTCTATAATTAAGTTACTGTAAATTTTATTTGTTTATACAAGTATTTTTTTTCTAATTTTAAATAACTTTTTCTATTTTTAAGTGATTTATATATAACATTTATAATAAAATATTCATTTTTATTTTCAAATAACTCTTAGTATCAATTCCAAAATGTTTTAATTAATTTTATACAGTTAAACAAAACAATCGTGATAATAACATTACTGTAAAAACAATCTTAATTAATAGACCACAATTTGCATTACAGGAATAATTTAAAATACCGTAAACATAATTTTTTAAGAATTAGTTTAAGTGATAAGAATGTTTATTAAAATAAAAATAATAAGATTTTATTTATATATAATGATTGAGAGAATTTTTATTATTGATTAAATAAATTAAGGAACAAAAAATCTATTTTGAAATAATTCACTTTTTTAGACACAAATTATATTTAAGTGACGCTTTGGACTTGAATAAATTATAATTTTTTATTCTAATTTGACTCTATATAATTAATTTGTTTATTTTGTTTTATCCCTTTTTAGAAATAATAGGAATAATTTGATAAACCTATTCCCTTCATTAACTTATTTATTGATTTTTTAAATTGTTGAAAAAAAAAACATTGAAGTTCACTTATTTTAATATATTAGTATTTACCAGTATTATTTTCGGTGCGTGGGATTCACTATTTTTTTTAATGATAATATATTTCCCATAATTTAAAACATATGATGGATACAATTTTTTTCTTTAAATACATTACGTTTATAAAATTATATTAAGTATTTACCTATACTCTTACTTAATTATATATATATATATATATATATATATATATATATATATATATATATATTGAGAGATAAGAGATAAATTATTTAAGAGCATTTTAATTAAAGAAAATATTAAAATAATAAAATATTAATAAAAAAATTAATTTTATTAAAAATAATATTTATTTTAGTATGTGTAACTTAACTTTAAACCTCTTATATTTCGAAAAAGGAGTATACAAACTTATTAGATACTGTTTTATTTCAAAATATACAAAATTTGATGAGAAAAAGTTGTATTTAAATATAACTATGATTATGTGACAAAGGATAAGAGCGTTAATCATTTGTGTATGGATTCCTAAAATATAATATCATTTGTGGGTTAATGAAATAAAAAATAGAGAAAATAATATTAATATATATAAAATAATGTTAGATAAAATTATTTATTGACTTTATTTTAAAACTAATAGATATAGATTTTCTGTTAAAGTTAATATAAGTAAATAACTAATTAAATAAATATTATAATTAAAAAAACAATTAATTAATTAATTAAATAACATGAAAAAATAATTACCATTCTTATTTTATTATTTTATCCATTTAATTAATTTTAAATCATTTATTATTTTATATTTTTCCTCTGTGGATGAAAAAAAGTGAACAATTAATACTCTTTAACCTAAATATTAATTATTTTAATACATATTAGTAGTGGAAACATGTATCCACACTTTTTTATATAATTAAAATTTTCAAATATTCTAATTTTTTTCTCTTAAATATTTCCTCATTATATATGGTTATAGATATTTGCATAATTTTTTTTATTTCATTAACCCACAAATAATATTTTGCATAGATAATCTATGTATCATAGTCAAAATGGGCAATGTAGATGCAATAATCTATATAGATAAATCAGATATAATAGCTTATATAAATAATCCACAAAAAGTACTCCTTATATAATAATTGAGAATAATATATCTGTTAACTTATATATGATATTTTATCAGAATAACTTATCAATAATATTTTGACTGAATAAACATACGATATTATTTAATGATATAATATTTTTTTAAATTATTTTTTGTTTATTATATAATTAAATTAAAATTAAAATTTTAAAATGTTTCTAAGATGCTTCTTTTTTATTTATTTTATTTTCTTTATAATGATTTAAGCGAATAAAGTTCTTATATTTTTTTTGTTAATACTATATATATTTTGTTTAAATTTTTTCATCTTCTTATTATATTATTTTGTTTAAATTTATTTAATTTTTATTTTTAAATATACGTAATTATAACAAAATAAAAATTAAGTGGATTAATGAAATAATATTTATTAAGAGAAAGAAATTGAATAGATAAACTAATATAAATTTTATGTATAAGAGTATAAGTTAGCCAAATCATATATAAATATGTTATTTATAAAGTTTAAGATTATATTAATTATTTTTGTATTAATTTTATTATTGTATTTTTTATTATATTTACTACAGAAAAAAATAAAATAATAAGTTTATTGAAAAAATATATTAAAATGAATGTTTATCTTGTTACATATAACCTAATCTAAATTTCATATATTTTTATATTATTTTTTGAAACAGAAGAGTATAAAATTAAAACTAAAATGATTTGATTTTTAATAAACTTAATCTAATAAAAAAATATTCCAAAGGAATACATGAAAATAGTATATGTTAGTAACCTTTTTTTTATATAAATATAAATCTTGCCCGTGGCCTGATGTAACATGAGGCTAATAAGCATTACATCACTAATGACTCATGCAATCACTACGCGTTAAAAAATAAATGTGAAAGGAATTGCAAAAAGGAAAAAAAGAAGAAGAAGACATTATGTCGTGCAACATCCACGATCCGGCCACTTCCGACTTTTCTAGCAAAGTTTTTCATGCACCAAAGTAAAAATATAAAAATATCTAAAAGTCTAAACATGTTGAATTAATTTAAAATATTTTTTATTTATTTTAATATTTCTATAAGTTTCACTCGTTCATATACACCTTTGTAATCATCCCAAATTTCATTCAGTGAATACAATTAATTCACTGCGTGAATGCGTTAATTAAACTATTTTCTTGTTGAAATTAAAAACAACAGAAGTCTTTCTGATCTGACATTAAAGGTCCTATCGTTATGGAAAAATCAAACAATCATTTTACTATAAGTAATTTATGTCCTTTACACCCAACAAGAATCCAAGGTAATAATTACTTCCCTCACAAAGGAAAATGGAAAACACCAGTGGTGGAATCATACATTTTTTATTTTTTTTAGAGATTCTTTTATAAACAATTATATTTAAGTTGAAAAAAAATAATACAAACAATAAAAAATAGGTGTAAATATATTTTTAATTCCTTGTGTATATCTGTTTTTAGTTATTATAAAAGTATTATGATATTTAAATCCTTGAAAACAAGAGTTGCCTTTACTATTGGAAGGGAAAGAGAGGGAATTTGAAGAAAAATAATCAGTGGTAACCTTTAGACCCAGGTGTGTTTTTCCCGCCAATCAAGTATTAATATCTAGAAATCTGATACCTAATACCTAACTTCTTATACTAAGTCTTCTTCTCTCCATCATTCATGGCTATTCTCCTTCCAAACTCTCACCTTCACCAACTAGTCAGCTATTTGGGAGACTAATTAACTAGACCCAATTAACGCAACAACTAAAGAACGCAAATTCTTTAATATCACTTTATTTTCAGTCAGTAAATATGTATATTTGGTGACCGTTTTTATTTTTTTTGACAAAAAACTTATTTGTTTGAGAAGAACTAATCTAGATTAGTCATAATACAGTTTAAATTAAGGTAGTTGAATGATGCATGTAGAATAACCGAAAAATGTCCAGAATGAGAGCAGTGAAAGTAAGTCAACGTAAGAATAAATGCTTTGTGGACGTCTAAATGAGCCTGGCGTTGAAATGGTGGTTCTAACAGTGGGAGTTTGGAAATACTTTGCATGCGCATTCAACTCGTATCTCTGTTGCTTTAAACACTCGGACTTGTTTTTCTGATTGGGTTGAAAATTGGACAACATTGATGTTAGAACTGCACTACTATTGTGTTTTTATATTACTATTAAGAGATCCATTATTGGAAAGGAAATCTTTTTTCACATGGTTGTCGCTGACATTTTCAGAATAAAATGATAAAAAAGAAAAAGAAGAATCGAAACACACTCGATCATGAACTAGGCTTGGACTATTGGTCTCCATATGCAAAAGTTAACATTCACCCCTGATTCTTTTGTTTTAGTTTTCACCTAAAAAACATATAATCCATTTAAGATGATTATCTAAACAATTAAAAAATACGCAAAGGCTCATCAAAATTCTTTTTAAATAATATAAATAACATGAATTTTTTATTTTATTTTGTAATTAAGATTCACTTCTTATCATTCTTAATTATATAATAGAGTTGAATTTGGTGGATTTCAAACATGACATTGTTTTTCTTATTGTAATATGAAAGGGAAAGTCCAAAATCAAATAACCTTAGTAGAGTAAACATAATCCTCCTCCACTTGGGTACGGAATTAAAGAATATACAATGCCTGGACAAAGAAAACCCAAATTTGGGGAAGCTATCCATCAAAACATTGAATTGCCTATACACATGGCCAATCACAGAAATTTGGAATTTCTTCTTCACCCCCCTTATCTCATTAACAACCTCCCACAACTGATTTTGAAGAAATAAGTGATCACCAGCCAATTAACACCTGCTGACAAGGAAAGAAAATATGGAGAAGAAAAATGAAAATATGTTTATTCGTTTGAACAATAAATGACACAAAATATTTTAATGTATCAACCGTTTTTCACTTTACATTTTTTAAACTAAGTGTAATAACTGACCAATGTTCCAATCTCCTCACGAGAAGATGCTACATAATATTTATGTTTTATGTTAATTACAAACTTTAATGTATAATAAGTTCGTCCAATATTTCTTCTGTATATGTAATAATCGAAATAAAGCATAAAAGCTGAAAATTTTTTGGTTGTCCAATTTTAGTGTGGAAGAGTCGTTCTGAGTGTCCAAAGATTCAGTCCATATTAATTTGATGACCCCGACCGCCAGCCCAAGTCAAGCAGATATTTGAAAAGGAAAAAAAAAAAACAAAATTCAGAAATAAAAAAACTTGTTTTCTATTTTTTTTCATCATATAAATTGAAGAGAATTTATAGTAACGAGCTACTATACTCAACCAACCCAACCACCTCAGAATTAGATGGGATGGATAGTAATAATGTTATATATGAAAAAATTAGAAAAATAAATATATAAAAGTTATAGTAAAAGTTTGTTTAATTACTATTTTTACTGAAGTCTGAAACACCAATTTCTTTAAATTTCGGAATGATGGTTCATACTGATCTGTAAGGGTTAATTTTTATATTTAAAATTTATATTTCTTTTTGAAGAATAAGAGTGTAATTTAAATAATTTTTAAATAAGAGTAATCGGTTCTTGTTATAATAATATTATTCAAAATTAATTTTTATATTTTTTTATAAGAATACGAGTGTTTTATTTTTCACGTATGTATGTTATGATAATATTGATAAGATTAATTTTTATGTTTGAAATATTATTTGATTTATAAAAAAAATATAAATTATTATTAATCTTAACTCTAAAAAGTAATAATAAATATATTATAATATTATATATATATATATATATATATATTTAAAAATATTATATATATATATAAAATGATTAAATATATTTTTATATTTATATTTTTTTCAATTTTAATTAAAGTTATTTTCTTTAAAAATTAATTAATCAATCTTTTTTAAAGTAGTCCACAATTCATGATTCACGTTCTATTTTTTACACAGCAAAATCAAACTTTTATGAGTTGCGGAAAGAAGGGTTCCACATGGCACGTGCATTAAGTGAACTTGAGCCATCGAATTTGACGTAGTCCTTTAACAACTTCATGTTTAGAGTTACAGATATCTCTTCGGCCACAAGTTAGACCCTAAAATTTCGACTCATCATAACATAACTTTATCAAAGTTCATGTGCTTTGCCATTTACAAAGTGAAGCTGTTAATTTTCTCTAGTTACCATGCTGAATCAATATAATATAATCTGATATCGATAATTTTGGTAGAGTGAAGCTGTTAAATTTGTGAAAAAAGTATTGATAAAAAAAAAACGAAATAATTATTTATAGACCAACCAATTTATTTATGGACGTATAGAATAAGGTTATTTAATATAAAGGTATCTACACGAACCAACCCATTAACTACGGACGTATGTAGGGGACTACGGACGTATGTAGGGGACACAAGGGACGTATCTATTAATACTTCTTGCACTATTTTAGAATTGCAATTTCTCCACGGAAGAAAGAAAGAAAGAAAGAAAGGAAAAAAAGTTCACCTCACATTAAAATAACAATAATAATCACTTCATTTCTAACATTTTTTTTCAAATAAAATATAATAGCCAATTGATTTTATTTCTTTGTAGGCTCAGCTCTGACTTATGCTGACGTAATTTATTACACGGTTAACATTTGTAAGTGAACGCAACAATTTAAAAAATGCTATGTATTATATTATCTCATTTTTATCGTAACAAAATAGTTTTGTAAAAGTAATACATGTAAATTCAAATTGAACGAAAATCTCGAGCATGTGTACGGCAACCATAAAAAGGCAAAAAGAAAGAAAATTGGAATTCTAATATACGGCGTCGTGACTGCGCTAAAACTAGTTACTATTCTACTAAAATTAGATTTTTATAATTCACGTGATTTTATCCACTTTTAACCACGAATCAAAATCATTAAAAGGCTGGTTTAGTTTGATTTGGTGTAAATTTTGCTTGCTGAGTCGACAAAACAGGAACATACAGACCCAATAAAAAAAAGGGCAAAATCTCTTCCCAAGTTAATGAAAAGTGCCATTGCTCATTGATGCTCAGTCTGCATTTCCGGTGGGTAGTTGGAAAAGTTTTCAATGCTTTCTCCGGCCCCCAAATCACAAGCCATTACTACCGTACATTTTATTAGTACACCCCAAGTAAGATAATAATTTTTTTATCCGGAAATTACCATATAGAATAAGGTAGAACAATACATTCGGTGAGAAATCAGAATTTTAAAAGACGTGTGGACCAAAGAAATACATTAAAAGTGGATGTTTTGGTCAAATCTCTCACGGAAAAAATTATATGAAAGTCCTATCTCTGAATTTCAAGCTTTCTGGTGCCCATAAATTGAAGTTGCTGCCTCTCTTATCCACCACTCTGAAGAGAAATCTAGTGTAGCATTCTTTAACGCAAAACACCCTTTTGCTTTCATCTTTTTGCTTTATCCAAAGATTATGTCGGTGGTGGCTGATAATTCGCCAAACAACGGAAACCACCATGTGGTTTTAAATGTAAACGGTGATACCTCCAAAAAGTGTGATAACCCAGCTAACCAAGATTGTGTACCTCTTCTGCAGAAGGTATATCTCTCTCTTAATCATTTCTTTCTCGTTCATGTATTCTTGTTACCACAAAGTACCCATATGGATTTCATTCACCAATTCACACCACAAAATATCGGTGCCTGAGATTTTAATTGTTTCTATGTTTATTACAGCTGGTAGCGGAGGTGGTGGGGACGTACTTTTTGATATTTGCAGGATGTGCTTCAGTGGTGGTGAACCTTGACAAAGACAAAGTAATTACACAACCTGGGATTTCAATTGTTTGGGGACTGACGGTTATGGTTTTGGTTTATTCTGTTGGCCATATATCTGGTGCTCATTTCAACCCTTCAGTCACTATTGCTCATGCTTCCACCAGAAGGTTTCCACTGAAGCAGGTGAGTGTTTGTGAACCATTTACACACTCTTTTTTGCTTTGCTTATTGCTTATTATTATGAACATCTGTTCAAATATGTTATCTCATTTCCATTACATAGTTTCTGTTGGTGTTGTAGTGATCATTATAGAATTTGAATGATGTACTGACGTGACGTGCGTCAATTCTGAGTATGGATCAAACTATCTGAAGGTTAATTGATGAAATCAGGTTATTTAGATATTTGAAACTATGAAGTAAAATAAGTTAAAAGATATCTTGAAAATAGTAATTACTTGAGGTAGTTCTCTAAAAAAATATAAACCATGTAAGGATCTCACTTCCTGATAGAGGCGATGAGATAAACCAGAAAAAAAAATTCATAAATTTGCCACAAGCCAAAAAGAATAAGTTATACTTTGACTTAGATATTGCAAATTGTTCTAAAAGTTTCTTAAATATGTTTTGTTGGTTATTTAACTAACCATACTTCATTTTCAAATAAGAATACATAATGGTCTCAGTTTGTCTCTAAACATTGAATTTTTCTTCACTTTATATATGTTGTAGGTACCAGCTTATGTGATAGCTCAGGTGGTTGGATCCACACTTGCTAGTGGAACTCTCAGACTTATATTTAATGGCAGGAACGACCATTTCGCAGGAACACTTCCCGCTGGTTCTGACTTGCAATCTTTTGTGGTCGAATTCATAATCACTTTTTATCTCATGTTTGTCATTTCTGGAGTTGCCACCGATAATAGAGCGGTAACTATCCAGTTTTTGTTCAAAAGACAAACTTTGCATGTTTGGTGGTGGTTGTCTCTTAATTTATGTTTTGAATATTTTGGATTTAGCAAATAGCGGTTGGAATTGGCTTATCTTGCCAAAGTTTGGCCTTTCCCCGTAACAATGGTTATCTAAATTGATTAACTGCATAAACATACTTGGAATGGGTCGGACCACTTCGAATACGTGCTAGAAGTTTGCATCACAAGACTCACGCAATACCTATCAAAATCTCTGTCTGAATATTCTTCTACCCCATTTCATAGCTTTTTTTTTATTCTAAAATCATGCAGATTGGTGAATTGGCTGGACTTGCAGTTGGGTCTACGGTACTGCTAAATGTGATGTTTGCAGGGTATATTAATTTAACTTAAAACTTAAATGATTATATCATTTTATTTGCATGCTTTTAACAAAGAATATTATTTATATTATTCAATAAATTAAAATTAAGCTATTGAATTATTAGAAAACATGGAGCTCACTTTTTGAGTACTGAAATTTCTTATATAATTAAATTTGACAGGCCAATCACAGGGGCATCAATGAATCCAGCAAGAAGCTTGGGACCAGCAATTGTGCACAATGAGTATAGAGGAATATGGATATATTTGGTGTCACCAACTCTTGGAGCTGTGGCTGGTGCATGGGCGTACAATTTTATAAGATACACAAATAAGTCAGTGCGGGAAATCACCAAGAGTGCCTCTTTCCTCAAAGGTGGTGAAGCCCAGTGATTAATCAGCAAAGGCAACACTGTTTCCTTCTTTTTGTTTTTTCTTTATATTGAAGTTTATCATGAACTAGGGTTAAAATGTAAGGAAGAATCACTGCTTTAGAATGACAAATAATCCTGTAATATATCTAGAGGAAATTAAAAACACAGATTCTCCTTGTCCATGCATGCATCAATACTGTATATATATATATATATATATATATATATATATATATATATATATATATATATATATATATATATATATATATAGAGAGAGAGAGAGAGAGAGAGAGAGATTTGAGCAGCAAGAAGACAATAAATCAAGACATATGATTAGTGAGAGAGAAGGAAAATATCATAAATGAATAAAAAAGGAAAATTATTAAAGTATTGAATTTTTTTTTATTATAAATATATTACACTATGCTTTTTCTATCACCCCGGGAGAAGTTATAAGCTTTTATTTTTGTATTCATACACTTAGTTGATTAACTTTGAACAAACTAGCTATTATTAAACAGTTTAACAGCGATGGAATTTATAATATTAAAATTCATGTTTAATATTAAAAGAATGTAATATATTTATGATTTATAAATATTATATATACATATATTAATTTTTGTAAAGTTTCGTGTTTGGTCATCCTCAGAGAGAAAATTCAATCTATTACAATTTTAGAAAAGGCAGGAAATGGGAGCTTTTATCACGTATGATTACTTCATTGCCTCTTTCTTCAAAGGAGGTATCATTGGATGAATTAATAAAATATTATGAATGGTGGGTTTGAGACGGTGAAAAGTGGAACAAGAACGTGAAGTGTTTAATTGGAAGAAGAGGTAAACATATTTTAGCAGGTGATGATAAATGAAGAAATTGAAGAATGGAATGTTTATCCACAAATTTTTGCAGTGACTCGTCAAGAGTGGATAAGAAGATGAGACATGGCTGAATTTGTTGACATGGCCTGAGTCAAAATATTATCAGAATCACATGAATGCTATAATACACGATAAAACAAATATTTCTGTAGGTGTGCATGTTTGATTTTCATCAGAACCCGTGATTCTTCAAACATACCACTCTTTTAAGATTAATTCTCAAATTATTAATCCTATGAATATAAAAATATATGCAATTTTATCATATATTTCGTAAGTTATAATTACATTAAATATTATATATATATATATATATAATTTTATTATTTTAAAAATAATATTGATTCAAATAATCATAGTAGGTGATTTTAATTTTTCATTAATTGTTTTTACGTAAACGTAATCTCTTTGCTTCTATCTTCATCTCTTTATATCAATCTTCAATTAATAAATTTAAGAAAAAATGTTAATATTTTACTCTAGTTCATCATTTTAATATTGATAGAATCAAGATACTTTCCACTTTAAATTTGATTTCTTTAATGATGAATTTTATTGAGAGTTAAGAGCCCTAATCCTCCAAAATTTTGTAACTCCATGATTTTGGTCTTCCAAACATAATGAATATTTAATATATTTACATGTATATTTACAATTTTATCCTTTCAGAATATCCTTATAACTCTCATATAATTTATGATTTTGTTGTCCTCAAACTTAATGATTCTTTAATATATTTAAGTATATATATTTACACTTTTATCTTTTCAACATTTCATTTTCTTTCTTCCTTTTATATTTATTTATTATTTATTAATAATATATTATTTAGCCTCTCAATATTAATGGTCAAGATCCATCACTGAATTTTTTTACTTTTATTTTTAAAATAAATCTTAATAAAAAAAGGCAATATTTATGAACTTCTAAACTTAGCGGTATGATATTTTTAAATGTATCTACTGTTATGATTACAAGTAATACATGTATTGGATAAAATTACACTAAATCACTATTTTGGAATAAATTTTAGAAATAAAAATGCGATAATATTTTGTTATATAATTTAATGACAAAATCATGAAATTTATAAAAAATAACTTTAAACACAATTGTTACACGTTTTTCTTTATATCAAACTGGTCGTAAAAATAATTTTTAGTATTCAATATCATAAAAAAAGAATATAATTATCATATTTTTAAATCATAACTTTTATTATTTCATATATTACATTATAATTTTTTAATAAAAAAGAATGCACAAAAACATCATTATGAAAATTAAATATTTCAACAAAGTTAGCACTTTATTTAGTTTTAAAAATAAATTCTGTTTCCATATTTAAAATTAACATCACCCAACTTAAAAATAAATTTATTTTTTAAAAATTTTAAAAACACTTAACTTTATAAATATAATATTAGAATTTGTAAAAATAGAAACAAATAAATAAGGACTATAATAGAATATTATCCCTCCAAAATTTTTCTGTACATGGTCCAAGTCATCACGAATTTACAAATTATGTATCATTATTACCCAAAAGAAAAAAATTATCATTTGAGTAATACTCTGGCTCAAAATGAGCTTGATATGCGAAGAGGTTTACAGTTCAGGGGAAGAAATTGTGGGCACGTCATCTGATCCTCTCTCTGCCATCAAAATAACAAAAACAGAGTTATTCAAAACCTCATATCTCCTGTTTACAGATTTTGCATTTTGCATAGAGGAAAACTTTCTTGAGGACACAATTTCTGTAACATATTTTTAAAATGGATTATACATGAGTCAAATTGAAACAACTAAATATGAGAGAATTGATACATATCAAGTACAGTGCAATATATCATGGCTTAATTTAGATAATAAAACTCTTGCTATTAAGAATCTTTTACTTTGCCAATCTCTTGTCATTTAATTTAAGATACTAGACGACATAAATGTCATTTTAACAAAAATTGAATTAGAATATTTAGGGTTAGAATTTTGTAAGAAATTTAGAAAATTAGTGAAAAATGGATTAAAAAGTGGTGAAAATTTAAGGGTTTCATAAAATTAAGTTTTTTGAATTATTTGAAGAAAGAACAAGAGGTGAATGTGAGAGGATGAAAACAAGAGGTAGTGAGAGGATGAAGAAAAAAATTACTTTTTAAAAGAAGATAACTCACAAAAGAGGTAAAAGTCTTTCGATACAGCTAAGAATTCTTGAATCATTCAAAAACATAGAAAAATCACTCTCATTATGATAAAAGAGTTAACCTCTAATATTTATAAATAAAACTCAACTTAATAACTTAATTATTGAGTGTAATTGAATTTGTGGTAATCAAAAGTCACCAAAAAATAATCAGATATACACCATTTAGATCTCCCAAATACTGATGCTTATTTTTTTAATTGTGCCCTTATTATAACTTAAAACAAAATTAAATAAAAATTCATTCATTAATTAAAAAATATATAATTTCATCAGCAAATTTTATAAAGGATTGTACTATTATTTAAACAAATTTAATTAGTGAAAGAAAGTCACATATTTATTCTTGATTATGATGCAATTATCTTTGATGTTATTCAAATAATATAGAAAATATTTATTAATGAGTTTTCTTTGTTTTTCTATAACGAACCTTGTCATATGTACTTGAAGTGGATACTTGGTCATGTTCATGTGACCGTCACTGCAAAAGCCAGAAACTTGGCCATTGGCCCCAAAAATAAGCCTAACTCCCATCTAGAATTAATGCCTGGAATGCTTTTCCCATCCCTTTCTGAATTTCCGTTCGGTAGGTTTAGACAAGATTTCAATGCTATTGTGAGATCATAACTCACAAAATGCCTAAAACGTAGTTCCCGAATTCCATCGATGTATTGTATGTAAGATAAGAGTAGTAGGAAGTGGAGCATTTATAAGAGAGTAGTTCCCCAATGAAACTTGTAGTCTTGGTTTCGTTCCGATGTGAAAAGTTGCATAATTCCTGGAGAGCAATGCGCCGACTTTTGGGAGCTCATAAATTGGTCTTACTCTCTCTTGTGCTCTATATCAGAGATGACCTTCGAGACTAGGCATGCATAGCAGCATTCTTTGACACAACAGAGCACTACGTTGTTTTTTCACTCCATTTCCTAGCTTTGTCTTCAATCTCGGTCGTCGGTGATGGCTGATATGAACCATGACGTGATTGTTAACGTGAACGGCGATTCCTCCAAAAGTTCTGATGACAAGGAAGCCTCTGTGCCCCTTTTGCAGAAGGTAATTTCCTTCTTCATCCATACACTAACTGTTATAAAAATCCTAACATTTTTTAGAATCCATCGAATGTGATGTATAAAGAGGATTGAAAAAAAATCCCGTAAATGAATCCAAATTTTCGAATAATTACGTTGAGCTGAAAATTTATATTCCATGTAGTTGGTGGCAGAGGTGGTGGGGACGTACTTGTTGATATTTGCAGGGTGTGCTTCGGTGGTGGTGAACCTTGGCAACGACAAGGTGGTGACACAACCTGGGATTTCAATTGTTTGGGGACTCGCCGTTATGGTTTTAGTTTACTCTGTTGGTCATATCTCTGGTGCTCATTTCAACCCTGCTGTCACCATTGCTCTTGCTTCCACGAGAAGGTTTCCTTTGAAGGAGGTGAGTATCAATGAACCTATTATACCCTCTTCCAATTTGCTTATTGCTTCATAATGTTCATTTGATCAAATGTGTCGTGTAGTTTTCGTTACTTTTCCAAACAAAACACTCAGTGGTCCCATTTTGTCTTAAATTATTGAATTTTCCTTCTTTTTGGGTTGCAGGTGCCAGCGTACATAGCAGCGCAGGTTGCTGGAGCCACACTTGCGAGTGGGACTCTCAGACTTATATTCATAGGCAAAGAAGACCATTTTCCGGGAACACTCCCTTCAGGTTCTGATGTGCAAGCCTTTGTAGTCGAATTCTTGATGACTTTTTTTCTCATGTTCGTCGTCTCTGGAGTCGCCACCGATAAGAGAGCGGTAACTTTTCCTGTACATATTTGAATGTTATTCTACCCCATTTCATAGATTTCGTTGATTCAAATTAATTTTATTCTAAAATTGTGCAGATTGGTGAATTGGCAGGAGTTGCAATTGGGTCTACAGTACTGTTAAATGTGATGATATCCGGGTATCAACCTATCTCAGAACCCAATTGATTATATAATTTCATTGCAGCTTTAACATTAGGGACACTACTTACAATATACAAGAAACTAAAATTAAGATGTTGAAATGAATTAATAATTATATTTGACAGGCCAATCACTGGAGCATCAATGAATCCAGTACGGAGCTTAGGACCTGCTATTGTACATCGTGAGTATAGGGGAATATGGATATATATGGTGTCACCAATTCTTGGAGCTTTGGCTGGTACATGGGTCTACAATTTCATTAGGTACACTAACAAGCCTGTGCGTGAGATCAAGAGTGCCTCTTTCCTTCAAGTTCGCGAAGCTGAGTGATCCAAAAGCAAATGCGATAATGATCTTTCTTTCTCTTTTTAATTTCCATACTTTGACTTAATACTTTGACTTAGCTTGTGCTACAGATATAAATGTAAGGAAGAATCACCGTCTTAGTTTGGCAAATGAAGTAATATAGTATTTCTGCATTCAGCATTTCTAATTAAATTACATAACTTTGTATTTTATTATAAAAATTTAAACGTTTGCAAAATATTAACTGCTGTAACATTAATTATTTATTGTAACAAAAAATTAATAACTTATAATGTAATAAGTAATTTTGAATTTCAAATGGGTAGGCTGAACTCCCATAATTGAACATTTATTTGAACATGGTACATAAATTCGTTAAGCTCAAATTCCCTTGGGATCAATGCAATCAGTATCGAATCGATGCAGGAATAATCCAGCAGATGTCTTCTATTAATCAGTTTTTCACACATCCTGGGCTAGGTATATTTTCTTCATAAGGACAGCATCATCAGGTTAGATAAAAATTTTCCCTTCTGATATTTTAACATAAATTACATTTTCTACATAACGTGCTCTTAAACATGTACAAACGAAATTCAACAGAAAAAGAACAATTAGATGTTAGGATGCGTCACTAACACAAATTAATACATGCTAGGTTAACTTGTTAGACAAAAACCTTACTTCTATCATGGTTAGCAATCTTAATCCAGTGCCTGAGGACGGTTTAGGGTTGCAGGACCGCGAGCAGAAGCCACCCTTTGCCTTGTTTTCGGAATAATTATAGGCGTACAACACACAAGAGCAAAAAGTAACTCCGTGAAGAATGCCATCATCGCGATCCATATAAATATGCTCATCTTCCAAAGCCAAATAATCCTCTTGAACAAGGGAAGTTCGGATTCAACAATCAGAGATGCATCATATATTTCAGGAATGCCTGCACCTGGTTGATATTCTGCTCGTGGCTCTAGGGTCACTTTCAAGCACGAAGTGTGTACATCTCCTTCTTCGAAACCTCTCATCTTCACATTCAGAGTCTGAGTTTCGGATATATAGCCAGTAACAAGAGGGGCAATGTTGAGGAGAGTCGTGATTAGGCGGATAGGCTCACTTCTGAATCTTAACATGCAAGGTTGACTTGAGCTTGCAATAGCTTTACCATTAGACAATAGGAAATCTACCCTGGTCTACGAATCAATATAAATTAACGAGGAAAACTCAATAGGAAGTTACAGGAAACTATGAAGCGCAACATTTGCAATCGCAAATCATCATCAACAGTTCTACTTGTCTAACATAAGTATGATACAAATTACAGAGCAATGATAATTTGATAGCATGCACTAAGATGCATGCAATTATAGTCAACGGTCATGAAACAAGTACAACTAGTTCCATTCTTTGCCTAATCTATTTATAGCAATTATTTTAGAACACTTACGCCACACTGATAGTAACTAACCACAAATGGGAACATAAACAACGTGCCAGAAATCACTTAACCTAAAACTTTGAACTATTATGCAAAGTCCTATGAAATTATTTTTGGGTCTCTCTACATATTTTACCACCGGGTTGCTTCAAAAGTCAACAATAATGAACACAAGTACCCAATTAGCATATTCCCAAACAGATGTCTCTGTCTACCATTGTAGTGTAAAATGTTTCATTACAGAATCAACATCTTTCCTTCTAGTTAATAAATAAAAGTTCGTACGGATTTAATAATATACTGGAGTATATAAGTTCATTTTAACTAATGAAAAAAATTCAATCTAGTTAGTTTACTTTCTTATTTTCTTTTCCTGTAAGGACTTACAAACAAGTTTATCTAAACCAACCCTTAATCTAAATAAAAATTAAGTTTATCTCTAGGTCTAGTAGTAGTAACACCACAAAAGCTAGCTACCAAGCATATTTTCATTTCTGCGATCTCAAATTGCAGTGAGTGGACAGGTACCACCATAAATCAGTTCGCACTCTATGAATTTAAATTCGAAGACGATGTTGAACAAGTATAAGAAGTTTCCTGTTTCGAAGGGAGTAGATAAGCACCTGAAAGACACCAAGGTTTCTGTTGTATCCTGACTCTGGCACTCTTAACTCAAGTGTGACTTGCACCTTGTGCTTAGAAGGTATAACGCGTTCACCCAACCACTTCCGATCATCAACCGTATCATCAAAACCCATACCACCAATAACACCAGCACACGACATTATTGGCACATACGCCACAGGATTATGCTTGGTATAATCAAAGTTCAAAACCTCCCTCATCTGAATTGGCTTCTCCACCATGTGCTTCATAAAAAACCCACTAAACACAAACGATGAAACCAGAAGACCAAACAAGACGCAGCAAACGTAGATTGAGCACAAGAACCCCCATCCCCACCGAAAAGCCACGCTCCAAACCGACTCGCTCTCCTTGAACCATCTACTAACATAAGGCCTAATGCACCGAAACACAAAACACCATCCTCTGTTCAAAATCCCTATAAGGAAAACCTTACCTCTCTTTGCTGTCCCCAAAGGATCCATGAAAAATATGCATGAATAAAACATGAACAGCAACGGGTAAGTCATGAACATGAACATTAACTTCATCTGAAACCCTAATAAGTTAATCACCAACTCCGTGGCAAGGTCTTGAAAACTCGAAGACGATACACTGAGTCGCGGCGCCGAGTCAACGGAATCGCCAGCTGCATCGTCGTTCGCAGCTGATGTGACGGCGGAGCCCTCATTGTTCTCCTCCGTCGAGGCATTAACTTGTTGCAGTTCATCCGAATCGGGTTTTTCCGAATTTTCGTCTTTCTTGACATTTCTATGCCTCGTGCGGTCTCGGAAACTTCTTCTCGAATTGCCATTGATCAAATAGCTCTCTATGTTTGAACCTAACGATTGAGTTCCCGCAAAATCGCGACGAACTCGCCGGCGCCGGATTGTGGTAGCCGGACAGTGTGACTTCGGTTCGGGTGGAAGATCCGACAGTGTGGAAGCCAAATCGGAAGGTTGCGGCGAGTCGTCGTCGGGCCAGTGTTGAAACGCGTCGACGAAAGCGTCGTCGTCTTGATCGATCGAAGTTGGCTGATCCATCCAGATTTTGAATCCTGGTTAAGCTAGGGTATTTGGTCTCGGATTATACTTTTTTCACGTGAAAAAAAATAAAATTAGAAATAATAATAATAATAATAATAAGGCAGATATAAAATAAAATAACAAAAACCAAAGTAAAAAAAAATAATAATTGGAATAAAAAAAAGTCTTAAGGAAACCAAATGCACTAAAAAAAATAATTACCTTCCTCGTCTATTCGTCATTTATTAAAAAATAAAAATATAACACATTTCTACTTTGTTCTTTAAACCTGTTGAGGACTTTCATGATGTGCTGAAAAGTTACTACTTGTCGTATTTAGTTTAAAAAAATAAGATTTAGACAAAAGTTATAAATGGTTTTTTTTTTTTTAAACTATGTTTGACTATTTTTTTTAACTATATTTTATAACTGTATGGCATTTCAACCAGTTTCTAATAAAAAGTTTATTTTAATTTAATAAGAGATATTGGTAAATATTTTTTTAGAGATTATTTCATATAGTTTTTTTTAACTCTAGCATTTTTTTTATATTTTTTCTTTATAATACTTATTAAATTTATATTTTTACGTTTTTTAACTAAGATAAAAAAATATTATATTTTAAAATATTTTAATTATCACACAAATCAACATAATGAAAATATGAGATTTAAATTAAGATATTTTAATCATTATACTAATATGTATAATAAAAATACAACATTCAATTATCTAACATTTTATAATCTTTATAATCTTTTAACCCAATAAATTTTTAATATGAAAATTGTTCTTGCAAGGCCGATTATAAATATTTTTGTCTCCCCAATCTTTCAAATATTGAGTATAAAATGCACAAAAGTTTATTAGTCTCATCCATTGATTTACATTATATCTTTATTTAAATGAACTACATAATGTTTCAATGTAGGATATATTATTCTCTAGATAGAAGAAGTCATCTCTTCAACCTGTTTCCTTTCATTGTTGCTAATCAAAATGCAAAGGGAGTTATTAATTTGCCAAAGTTAGTAATAAGCCAAGATTTTGAAATATCAACATTTAACTAATCACATCAGCTCTTCCAAAGGGACCTTAAATTTCTCATACTATTTAGAAAGGTGGAGAAGTCAAACCTAGTATTCCTTATCGTGACTCTCATCTAATTTTGTAAGATGTGTAGAAAAGGATTGAAATAGAGAGGTAAGAAAGAGATAACAAATAAGTGAAATAAAAAGTGTGTATCCTCTTCTTTGTGCAAGAGTTTGGTGAAACTCAAATAAAGAAAGATTTGCAATGATTTGAGTGAAAATATATGCTTGTATCTTATGATTTAAGTTGGTTTGTAAACATTACAAAGATGACAAGAAAAGAATAGAAAATCACTTTCACTTTGTATTTATTCCTAAAAATATACATGATCTTTATTCCTAAAATGATACATGATCCATTATGAAATAAATAAATAAATAATAAAATTAAATAAATTATTATTTAATAAATAACAAAGAAATAATAATAAATAATAATAAAATTTTTATTTATTATTAATAATAAATAATTATATTTTTATTTTTTAATCATTTATATTCTATTCCACTTAATTCAAAACATTTTGTTTTCCATTTCAATTTTTTTCTTTCATTTTCTACTCTTTTCATCACTCCGTCCAATAATTAGGAAAGCACACTAAAATGATGTAGTTTTTTTAATTTGGATATTTTAAAAAAACATTTGTGAATGGATAAATAATTTTAAAAAGCATGACTTTACTAAAAAGAAGTTGGATTTACAAACATGATTTTTTTCTTTTTTAAATTTGTACTAAAATAGTATTTAAGAGCACAATTTTTTTATATATAATGAAATCTTGCTTTAAGGCACGATTTGACTTTTCTTTTCTTTTTTATTTTTAACAAGTCAAGTCATGTTTTTATACTTCACTTTTTCCTTTATATTTTATATTATTATTATTATTATAAATTTATTATTGTTGTCATTAGCTTACTTAAAAAAATGTAAAAACAATTTGGTGATAACAATATTGAAGTTTTATAATTAAAAATTGTTAGCAAATAAATATTATTGTCAATAAATACGTCAGCATTTTTTTTTAATTTGAAAAACATATTATTAACATACAAATATTATTTAATTTTATAAAATTGAAGAACACAAATAAACTTTTATTAAACTATTCACACCGCAGATTTAATCCATACGAGGATTTCCAGTCACAATTTGAAATTGATAATGCAATTTTTTTTTTCTTATTTTTTCGGAATTACCCATCCTCCCTCTTCCTTTTCTTCCACAAAAGCCACACGTAGCACCATCATCACTTTAATAATTGTTATTGGACCTACCACAATAGTATGTCCAGCACAATAACAGTGCGAATCAAGAAAAGTCATGCAATAGTTTAAATTAAATCTCACGCGATGTATCAGGGATAAAGAAAGAGAAAAGTTAATGGCCGTGTAACACGTTCGAGAGAAAGTAATTCATGACTTTGCTTGGAGAGGAAACACTGCACCAATACTCACTACAACCATTCAATCCACATTTTTAATCACGGCTTCTAAAGTAAATTTACTGCAAAATGATTATTGACTTGCTTTTAACATCTCTTATTTAATCTAAGAGTTAGTCTAAATTTCATATTAAACAAGAAAAGAAAAGTTAAAAATAAAGTATGACTCATATTTTAAACTTTTTAAGATTTTGCATTGAGATTGAAATCAATTCTTTATATGACTTTATATTATCTTTCTTTAATAAATATTCAATCAAAATACTTGACATTGATATTAGAGTCTATCCTTTTACACAAAGAAATGTACCAATGCAAAAGAATTCACATTTAAATAATTTGTCCTTTTATATTGTATTTTTATTAAATATAACTACAAAACAAAAATAAATAATAAGTTCAGTAACTACATGTAGTTTTCATTTACTTACATGAGTATTTATAATAAAATAATAACTAGATGGGTCAGACCCAATAATCTCTCAGACTTCATATATTTAACAATCTCCCACCTAGATTCTGATCCCACCAAGTACACTCCATAGTAAATTTTAACTTATCACTAGTAACCACCTTGGTCAACATTTCTGCTGGATTCTTTGACCCAAGGATTTTCTCCAAAAACAATTTACTATCATTTATTAGTTCTTTAACGAAGTGATATCTCAATTGGACGTGTTTTGTTCTCGCATACAAAATCGATTTTTTGTAAAATAAATGACAATTTGACTATCGCTATAAAAAACACAGTTGTCCAGATCTCCTCAATAAAATTCTTCATCATTTTTTTACTTGTTTCGAAATAACCAAGTACTATACTTTTGTGGTTGAAAGTGCAACACTTTTCTCAAATCGAGACATCGTCATATACTATACTTCTGTGGTTGAAAGTGTAACACTTTTTTTAAGTCGAAACATCCTACTAACCGTTGTGTCACCTACTGTGAAGACAAATCTTATAGTATTTTAAATTTGCATAGGAATATCCTTTCAAAATTATCATTTCTTTTAAAACATAATGCAATTTTAGAAGTAACTTTCAAATAGCCACTAGTGGAAAAATAGCATTCTATGACGAGTTTTTATCACTAGCCGTAGTCCACCAGTCATAGTATGTAGCATGGTGACAATTTTGTAATTAAATCATAAACTTTCTATGTCGAGTAAATTTTAACCGACATAGTAAGTGGAAAGTTCACTTTCTATGTCGGTTAAAATTTACCCGACATAGAAAGTGAACTTTCTATGTCGGTTATAATTTACCCGATTTCTATGTCGGTTAAGTTTTACCCGACATAGAAAGTACTTTTTATGTCGGTTAAATTTTTAACCGACATAAAAGTACTTTCTATGTCGGTTGAAATTTAACCGACATAGAAAGTGTATATTAAATAAAAAAAATTAAATATATAAGTATATAAATATTTATATATCAAAATATATAAATATATTTGTATTTATATATTTTGTATATAAATATAATTTATTTGTAAGTTATGTATCGTAAATTTGTAGTAGTTTAGTAGTTGGAGTATCGGTCTTCAACTCTAAGCGTACGGGTTCGAATCTTGTTAGACACAAATCTCTTAAACGAGATAATAAAATAATATATTATAAAGTATAATAAAAATATAATATGAATAAATAAATAAATATCGTACTAGTGTAGTGGTTGGTCTAATTCTAGACTCTAATATACTTGGGTTCGAATCCTACCAGATGACAATTTTTGTAAAAAGTCCATTACTTTCTATGTCGGTTCGTTACAACCGACATAAAAAGTCATACTTTCTATGACTGGTTCATCACAACCGACGTAAAAAGTCATATTTTCTATGACCCTCGTATCTATGTCGCATCTTTAACCGACGTAAAAAACTCATTTTAACCGACATAAAAAGCCTTTTTTGCACTAGTGAGCATAACAATCACTTAATAACATCTCAATGCTTCCTTCTTAGATTAGGCATAAATCTACTAACAATTCCTACTATATGGGCAATGTCTGGTATAATATACACCATTGCATACATTAAGCTACTAATTGCAGATGCATAAAGAACTTTAGTCATTATCTTGTCTTTATCTGTCTTAGGTGACTCATTTTTAGTGATATTAAAGTGAACTTCCAAATGTGTATTTACAATTTTAGCATCTACAAATTGAATTTCTCTAATTTATTTCTAAGATATTTATCTTGAAATAATATTAGAGAATCTTTAGATTTGTTCCTACTAATATTCATGGTCAAAATCTACTTTGCAATACCTAAATCCTTCATCTCAAATTCTTCAAATAATTATGTCTTCAATATATTAACTTCATCTATATTAGTATTTATAACTAACATGTCATCAACATACAATAATAATATGATATATGATGAATAAATTTTTTTTATATAACAACATTGATTCATGACAAACTTCTTGTACCATATCTTACTCGTAAAACTATCAAATTTCAAGATGTTTATTTCAACCTATATAAACTCTTGATCAACTTACAAACTAATTTCTCTTTTCCTACAACTTTGAAATCATCTAGTTGCATCATGCATATGTCTTCGTCAAGTTTATCATATAAGAGCGCAATCTTAACATTGAACTGGTCTAGATATAAATCTTTTATAGTCATAATACTCAACACAAGTCTAGATCTAATGATAATATTTTAACTATAGGAGAAAAAAATCTTATTATAATTAATACCTATTTTTTGTTGAAAGCTTTTTATTACTAATATTGTTTTGTATCTCTTATTGCCATTGCCATTATGTTCTTCCTCAATTCTCAATACCACTTTTTTTAATATCTAATAAGAAAATTAAGTAAGATTGAAGAGAGTATAACCTATAATGTAATATTTTAAGATTCTGAAAGTGTTGTGAACCTCTTGTACAAGTTGTATTGATGTCACACCAAAGTGTTACCCGACGCATTATTTACGGTGGAATAACTTGAACCTCTTGTATAGGTTGTATTGATGTCGCACCAAAGTGTTACCCGAACCATTATTTACGGTGGAATAACTTGATATGGAAGCAAAACAAGAAAAATTAAAAATGAAAGGTGGCAGCTATTGCTAGGCCCCTACCTCTATATATATATATATATATATATATATATATATATATATATATATATAACGTTGTAGGGAACAAGGAAACATTAACCAGATTTGTCACTGAGATCATTACTAGAGGTGTTGTAGATTTGAGAAGGCAGAAAGTAATAATAGGGGATGATGGCTGAAACCGAAAATGATATAGTGAATGAGGACACGGAAAATACAAGCAAGCGTTTGTTCAAACATTGCATGAAAGGTGAGTGGAGGGAAGTAATGGAAACGTACCGAAAAGAAAAGAAGGCACACACCACCAGAATAACGAGGACAGGAGACACTGCAATGCATGTCGCCGTCATCGACGGCCAATACCACGTCGTGAACGAACTGGTGAAGCTGATTCGCCGCTCGGAAGAAGGTCATCGTAAAAAGGCACTGAGTATTCAGAACGAGAGGAAGAACACGATCTTGCACCTCGCGGCTTCGATGGAGAGCGTGAAAATGTGTGAGTGCATTGCTTCCGCTGAGGCTTCGTTGTTGGGTATGCGCAACGTTGATGGGGAGACCCCTCTCTTTCTGGCTGCTCTGCATGGCAAAAAAGAAGTTTTCCTTTCCCTTCACAATCTCTCTAACACTGACCGGAAGGCTCACGACTACTATTCCAATTGTAGAAGAACTGATGGTGATACCATTCTTCATTCTGCCATTGCCGGAGATTATTTAGGTAAGGATATATATTGCGTCATGCATTCTCGCTTTTATTCAACTTTTTTATATTTCAAATGTAATAATTTGAAGTTTCTAATGTATTCATCTTAACTGTAAGGGAGATTATTTCTGATGTATGAATGTGTGTTATATATAATTACATTTTTCTTTTGAAATGGTCGATATAGTGCAATTAAAGTGAATAAAAAAAAGGAGATAAAAAGAAAACACTGAAACAATGATGAAATAGTTAAATGATTTATTAATTTTTGCTCATGAGTAATTTATTTGACAGATTTGGCATTCCAAATAATTCATTTATACGAAGGTCTCGTAAACTCAAAGAACGAGATTGGGTTAACTCCTCTTCATCTCCTTGCAAATAAGCCTTCTGTTTTCAAGAGTGGTTGCCACTTGGGACGGTTTGAAGCAATTGTATATCATGGTAAGATATTAATTTGAAGTTTCACTTTCTATATATATATACGTGGTGTTGTTAAAAAGTCATATCCTATGTGTTATTGATTTGGAAGCTATATTCGTGAAAGAGCTGAAAGTAACACCCTGGCATGAGCTGCAAGGTCCAACAACCGATAAAGAAAAGAACAGTTACCCGGAAAATTACGAGACATGTATGGAGCTTTTGAGGGTCACACAAAAGTTCATCTCAATTGGTACGTTAGAATATATACATTCTCTTCCGATTTTTTTTTTTTTTTTAATAACATATAGACGATGTAGAATACACCCACATTATTCCCACTATTTTATCAACATAATAAAGAAAATTATTATTCAAAACTTCAACTTATGAACATCATTTAGGAACTGCAACTTCCTAATGTAATGGTGATTTGATTCGTTTTCCATGTACCCAGTTACCCACCCTTTGACACAATTTCTACGTAAAAGGTTGCGACGTAATGTTGGAACTGAAAGAGACCTTGAAGAATCAAAATCTCCAGGTGAGGACAAGGTTGTTAATAAAATCCTTATACATGTGTTACCCACAGACCATATTTGAAGAAACGTAAACCCAAGAGATATATGAGTTAGCAGGAATTTCATTAACCTCGATATCATTTGTCTAGGATCTGAAACCAGCTATTGGTCACATCATCCATTATATCCTGACAATTACAAAAGCTGTGCAGATTTATTCAAGTTTGTATTTATGATAATGTCTATTATCTTTGGAACAGGTACGTCTCCATGAACATATTTAGTTTTGGAATTGTGTATATAAATTTTGCACTATTGCTAAGGTCCTTATTTAATAACTATTACAAAATTAATTACTTTTTACAAATTTTCTTATAAAAAATTATTTAGATTTGTAAGAAATTTATTTCTCACAAATTTTTTAAATATTTTCATAAAATATGAGAATTTGTAGTAATTAACTCTTACAAATTATTTTATTAAACTTTCAATGTTTAACAAAATATATTTAATATCTAAAAAATATGAAAACAAAATCCATTGGTAAGAATGTAGTATTTTATTCTACTTAAAAAGATCATTAAAAAAATCATTTCATTTTGCAGTTCATAAATGTAGCACATTTTTTTTTTCGAATAATGTGTAAATTTTTCTGGGAATGAAACCACAAAAGGGTCAGCAAACATAAAGAAGATACGTCGGATGAAGGAAAAAAACCTGTGGTCTGCTCAAATAATGGATGAACTTCTGAAGCGAACTATCATGTATGAGTATGATGACGATGGCAGCAAACCCATTCACAAATTGGAGAACAAACATGAACAAACACAGCCTTATAGTGTAGATGAAGGGGGTAATGTTACTATGGCCAGTATAGTAGAAGAGCACAAAAATCTCATCACCAAAGGAGAACCCAAGCAACAAAAGAATGGTAAAACATTGTTAATGTGTGCTTGGTTCTGCATCATTGTACAACCAAATTAGAGTTAGTTGTTATATTATTATTATTATTATTATTATTATTATTATTATTATTATTATTATATTTGGATTTCATATGCAGGTGGTGAGAAAGATGAAAAGACTAACAAAAGAGAAAGGGTGTGCGAGACACCTATATTAATAGCTGCAAAGAACGGTGTGACAGAATTGGTAGAGAAAATCATGGAAGCGTTTCCTGTAGCTATTCATGATATAGATGCCAATAAGAAAAATATAGTGCTATTGGCAGTAGAGAACAGGCATACCTGCTTATATAACTTGTTGCTCAAGAAGAAGCATCTGAAGGAAACTATATTCGGGAGAGTGGATAAGGAAGGAAACAGTGCATTGCACTTGGCAGCCAAGCTTGGAGACTATAATAAACCTTGGTTCATTCCTGGTGAAGCGCTGCAAATGAATTGGGAAATCAAGTGGTACCTGGTAAGTTTTCATTTGATTTGGCCTTTGTACTTGTCAAAATAGATCAAATACATCAAACTCAACGGGGCACACTTTTATGTGATATCAGAAATGGAAACAATGCAGATAATGGTGAAATAAAATATATGAGATTAAACAGAAAGTTGAGTTTAAATGTTAATAGTAAAAATCAAATTCATTAGAACATTTAAGGATCAAGAGTGTTGTTTACCTAATTATAAAAAAAATAACAAAAAAAGGGAGATTAAGGGTGTTTAGAAGAGCTTATTCAATATTATAATAGAGATTTATGGTTTTTTTTTTTAATTTGATAATAATATTATCAAGATAATATTCTTTTTCAACTTATTATAATAAGCCTCTCAACCAAAGATTAATTAAATTGTTATTAGATAAAAGCGTGTGAAATATATATTTTTTAAATTATATATCAAAACAAGAGCTAATTCAAATATTGATATAAAAAATGATTTACATTTTTTGGTCATTGAAACAACTCGCTCTCCCATTGATGATGTGATGCAGTTTGTCAAGGAATCGATGTCTCCCCATTTCTTTAGTCGATACAACAATGAAAACAAGACACCAACAGATATCTTCAGCGAGACTCACGGGGACCTTGTCAAGAGTGGTGGAGAATGGCTGAAAAAAACCTCTGAATCTTGCTCCTTGGTAGCAGCACTGATAGCCACAGTGGCCTTTTCCACAGACCACTGTCCCCGGCGACTTTTCCACAGCCACCACTGTCCCCGGCGACTTCAAAAATGAAACCGGCACCCCAACCCTTGAAAACAGGCCAGAATTTAAAGCCTTTGCCATCTCATCTCTCATTGCTCTTTGCTGTTCTGTCACCTCACTGGTGCTTTTCCTCTCAATACTCACATCTCGGTATCAAGAGAGTGATTTCGGTAGGCATCTTCCCAGAAAGCTTATCCTGGGTTTGACATCGTTGTTCATGTCCATCACCTCTATGATGGTCTGTTTCTCTACTGCTCATTTCTTCATCCTAAAGGATAAAAAATCTGTTACATTCCCTCTTTATGCCGTGACATGCTTGCCGGTGACACTTTTTGGCTTGGCTCAATTTCCACTCTACATCGATCTCATATGGGCAACTTTTAAGAAATTCCCACAGCGTGCTTACAAAAAAACTCTACAATAGTTGTACGACCAGTATTATAGCAGAACATACATAATGCTAATGCTCGTGTAATCTAATTTTCGATATATGGAGTTCAATCTAGACCTGTCATTTATAGACTACATATCTAAAATGTATATTTCAGTATTTGTTTGCGAATGTTAACAGTTTCTTATGGTAATTTGAAACATAATTGAAATTTTGTTTGGATAAAGACAATTATAGAAGATAAAATCCAGAAATAACATTAAAAGAGAACCAGTAAGTAATACTAATAAGACACCATACAAATGTGCTGAGTTTTACTTTCTTGACCTTTTCAGCTCGTCCAAAGAATATATCTGTCTAGTGTCTTCAATATAGTTTGAGAAGAATTAGAAAACAGGAATTGTAATGACTCAATTTGCATCCTTACCATGCTAGAGAAACCAGAAGGTCCAAAATAAAAACTCTAGAACACAACAGTATCAAGCATCATTCCGAGAGTTTGAACGATGTTGGAAGACATCAAATTTGAAACGTGCTCTTCCAGGTGCTTCTTTGCATCTTGTCTTCCCACATTAGCTATTGCAAGTTTTTCTGGAGGCAGCTCATCTTCCTCTTGAACTGCCTTGTTATATTTGATAGCTAAGCTCAGCATTTCCTGCATTTAGTTGAGATTTATCAGTATTTATTCTGCTAAAGATATTATGCAGAATTTTAAATCTTAAAATTAGCATAAAGAAAATATATGCAGGGATTTTCTTATGAGATATCAGATCGGTACCAAACTAACTTACACTCTAAATGATGAAATTACCTGTACAGTCTGTTCATTAGTTTTGGAATGTGTATCAAAATGGTGAAGTGTCAAACCATCAGTCCATTTCTTCTTGTGTAGATTAAGTAACATCTTCTCCTCAAGTTCATTTTTCCTGTAGTTAATGGCTATGGAGTAGTAATGCCGGTTCAAACCATGGATCAGTGCCTAAAGAGATGCAATAAAGATAGGTCAGTAACAGTGAAAAAGAGCAGAACAAGTGTTTCTTCCAAAAGAAAGAAAAAATAGTATAAACAAAAAAGGCTTTGGTAACACACTTGAATGGATGGTTTATTCAGATGTCCCAGATTGGATGTTGTCTGTCTTGGCTCTTGACCAAGCATCATAGTCTGTGGATTGATCAATCGAAAAGCATCAATCACCACTTTGCCTTTAACACTTTGTATTGGATCTACAACCACAGCCACTGCTCGCTGATTCAAAGCCTCAAAACTCTGTATGAAATAACATAGAAAAGCAAGTGACTCATACTAATAAAAACAAAAATAATAGTTAACACTAATTAGCATGGAAACTGTTTAGCATAGATAATAACCGTTGGCACTTGGAAATGCATATCATGGAAACTGTTTAGCAAGAAACTGATTAGCATGTTTAACAAACTCATGAGTTAACTCGCTGACTTGTACGAATTAATGAGTCAAATAACCAGGTACGAGTTAACTCGTGAGTAAACTAGTTTTAGAATAGACTTGGAGTCAAATTCGATGAACTTGGTGGACTCTGAAAAAAGTCGCAAGTTAGAGGCAAGTCATCAAGTTTGAAGGAAAAGAAAATAACTCGCTTGGGTCGCGCGGTGGTCACACGATGCTTGCTTGGGTCAACATGTTCACTTGGGTCGCGCAGTGGTTACGCGATGGTCGCACGATGGTCGTGCAACGTTCACCTAGGTCGCACAATGGTCGGACTCCTTGCAACTGCTTGCCGCCCTCTAGGTTAGATTAAGGAATTGAGGGATTTTAGGCTTTTCGAATAGATGGAACAGATTAGATTGAGGGATTAAAGGATTTGGGATTTTAGGATTTCGAATAAATAGAGAGATTTTAAACATTCCGGATTTTTTTTATTTTGATTATAATGTTTACGAGTCGAGTTTACGAGTCGAGTTTACCGAGTCGAGTTTACCGAGTCGAGTTTACCGAGTCGAGTTTACCGAGTCGAGTTTACCGAGTCGAGTTTACCGAGTCGAGTTTACCGAGTCGAGTTTACCGAGTCGAGTTTACCGAGTCGAGTTTACTGACCTCTCACAATTCTACCTAGACTCTCAAGTCTGATAACCTTGCTTTTAGCTTGAACTTATAACTTAAGACACCTTTTATATGAAAATGAGCAGCTCCCTTATTCATTATTCGGGGAACCAAAGTAAGCTTCATACCATTCATGAATTTTTCCCAAAAATGAGTGAGTAACCAAATTCCAAATAGTGCTGAACAAAAGGTTAGGAAACTAGGAAAAAGTAACAGCAACAATGTGAAATCGATTCAAACCACGAGATCCATTTAAACCTTGCGACCTCAACAAAAGTACAGCAGCCAAGTCTAATCCATAATGTGAAAAACTAGAAAAATCATTAAAATCGAAACAAACTAACATCATCCACCACACAAATCCTTTGAATTGAATGGTAGATACAAAAACAATGTGAATAAACAAAAGAATCACCCAAAGAAAATATACAAGAAAGAAATGGAGCTGAACCTGCTGTGTATTGATGTCAACACCAGAGAGCCAACAGCCAAATCCAGGATGCGAATGGTACCAGCCGACAACCATCTCTGGTCTGCAACACAAGAAACCAACATCAATGAATTCATAAACCAAACTCAACACAAATATTATAAATAAATAAATACCGTCCAGTTTGTTTGAGCATATCAAGCATATTCGTCTGAAAAACATGATCAACGGCTTCAACACTAACACCAGTGCCACTCTGCGGCATTGCGAAGACATCAACCACACGAACAGTGTACTCGTCCACGAACTCTCCTAGCATCAAACCCATCACCTCCATGGGAACCCCGGCCCTCCCTGTAATTACAAAAGCACGAAAACCCTAACTTTGAAATCGGGCACCCACGACTCGATTGGGTTAAAAACGCAAACTTTAGTTTTACCTACCGTGCTTAAGCATCTTGAGGAGCGCAAGTGAGGAGATGTAGACCTGCTCGGAGGAATCCAGAGTTGGGGAATCTGGGGGAGGATGCCCTAGCGCTCCGCCTGCACCTGCGAACATTCGCTGAAGCCTCTCCATCGCGAATCTCACTTCGAATTTTGATTCGTATCTGAGATTTGAAATGAACTGAATTGATTTCACTGAGAATTTGAAGTTGAAAAGCTGAAACCCACAACGGCAAATGAACTACAAAATGAATATTGAATGCCCTATTTCATTACTTCATCTCTACTCTCACCAAAAACAAAAAATATTTATTTTCTCCTCAATAAGCTTAAATTCAATTTTCTTTTCAGTTTTTTTTTTCATTTTTCTGTTCTAAATTTTAGAAAACGTAAATTAATTATTAATTTATTATGATGAAAGTAAATACATGGGGTGTAAAATGAAATTTGTATTCAAGTTTATATTTTTATTATTATTAAGCATACTATTTACAAAGTTTTGTGATTAAATATTTTTAACATTTCGCTTTTAATATATTTTCAAACAATATATACTATTTGAGTTATTTTAATTTAATATATTTTAAAATAATATAAGTAGTTATATTTTCAATATTACTTTCAAACAGTACATGTTTTTCAATGTAGTAATTTATATGAAATGATATTTAGAGTAAAGTTTGAATTATTTTTATAAATTTTTATTTTAAAAGTTATATTAGTATAATATTCGTTCAGTTCCTTATTATTTAAATTTTAGTTCTTGGAATTCAAATAAAAAATGACATCATTCAAATTTGATTTCACTATATTGCAATTAATCTTAGTATATGTATGAACAATAGTTAACTATATATCATTATTAGATCTTATATTAAACTTCATGCTTATTTAAATAGTCATTTTTTGGGAAAAGAGAGAAAAAGTCTAACAATTTATAAAATAAAAAAGGCCCAAGCCCAAAATACAAAACACCGGTGAAAACATTAAAGCTAGACTTTTGCTATTTTCCTAACATCGCTCATCTGAAAACACCTGCATAATGATATTATCATATTTGAGAAATTCTAACACTATATCCGTTTAACACGTTATATATGTATATAATCATTTAAAATTATATTATTTATTAAATTATGTTAATATTTGTTTCTTTTATTATTTTATATCTTTTATTATTATAAATTTTTTGACTTACACTTCATTTTAAAAAAATCTCACAAGTTATCCAAAATAAAATAAAAAATCTGATTAAATTTTAAAAAATAATAATTTTAAATGTATTTAAAAATTAATTTTAAATAATAATAATAATATAACTTATTTAAATCTAAACATAAATATGTATTTTATATTTAAATTATTTTAAATTAAATTAGATATTTTAAAAATTATAAATAGTATGTGATATGAAAAATAATTAATTATGTAACTTCAATCCAATATTAAAAATAAAAAAATAAAATTATTTATTTATTAGAAATATTAAATTATACGATATTTATCATAAAAACATATACTATCTAATTAACTAAATAAATAATTTATAATTTGTAAAATTTTTATTTTAGTTTAAAACTTTTAAAATATATAAAATTATTTATTTTATTTTAAATATATATTTTATTTAGATAAAAACTAAATTGAATTATTATTTAAAATAAATTTATAAATATAATTTAAATAATTTTAAAATATAATTTAGAAAAAAAATGAAAAGAAAAATAATAAACACACTATAAATGAGAAAAAAATTAATAAGTTTCAAAATAAGTCTTTTATCTGTTTGTTGAAGTCCAAAACCATCAACGTGAAATGTATCGAAAATGGTGCTTACATGAACACCTTTAGTTTTTGAGCCCTCTGAAAACCATAAATCATTGGTTTTGGTTCATAATTAATGAGATTCCTTGACTAAGAAAGTTCCTGTTCAACCTTTTCTATGGTTTACTCGCTTTTCTCCCCGTGGTATTCATGAAATTAAAAGTGTGGTAACATTTAATTAGGTTAACATCACTTCAAACGAAATGTCACTATTGAAAAGAAGAGGTAAAATCTTGGGTTAAAAAATTCAATTCAATTAGAGAAGAGTTAATACTTTTATCCACTAATGTCTAACTCTTTTTTCTTATATTTATTACACTTAACTAAGTTTTATGTAATTAAGATATGATTTTTGTTTTTTGTATTTAATACTTTTTATTTAAATATCTAAATAAAATATTTGTTTGTATTTATTTTTATTTTAATGTTAAAATATGAACAAAATTCAGTTTCGTAATTATTTTTTAGCATAACAGTTTGTATACTTTACATTATATACATATAATGTTATTACAAGTAATTGAAAATATTTCATGAGTTATTAGTATACCAGAAGAAGATAAAAAAAATACTTAAATCAAAATAATACTCAAAATAAAATACATTTAAATATATTTATTGATATAAAAACAAAAAATAAAAGTAGAAAACATATACTACGAGTGAATCCAATTTCTATAACACATACAATTTACTTTAAAAAAAATAAAAATAAAGAAGTAATTTTTATTAAAAATATCTGTCAATATTATGTAGAAGAAATAAATTATGAATATATGAAAATATCATGTGATAATTTTTTACTACCCAGTGAAATTATCTACTTTATTTGAAGTGGCATCGTTCTCCAACCTGAACTTCTGGAAACCTTCCTGACACGAACGTCGTTTTCGTTTCCGGGCTTTAATGTCGTCTATATTTTCGGATTCATGCACGTTATCTTTTTCAATCTACTCAATGTAAGTGATATTTCTATTTATTATGTATGATTTTTTCTAAATATACTCTGATTGTACTTTGTAAAATTATTTAAAAAATGAATATATTTATTACTTTTTTAATATTATCAACAAGAGATAATTTGGAATGGAGGTAGTATAGTAAATTTACTCATTTAATGCACAAAATTCAACAAAAATTTTAAATTAATACACCATCTGAAAATGCAAACAGGTATGTCTTTGACTTGGACTGTTTCTATATTCACATGCATCAACATTCTCTAACTTTTGGGTTAGGTTCCTTCAACTCAATTATTGCACGTACCATATTAGCTGCAATTTGAGGTAAAAGCAGCCTTCAATCAGAGGTTAAAGCTTAGCCAATCTAGTGGTTCTTATTCACCCAATAGAGCAACATGGGAATTTCCAATTTCCTTGTCTTCCTTTCGATTGCTCTAAGTTGCTTCCAGTTGCTGAGAGTCTCTGCATCAAAAGTACCCCAAGAAGAAGGTAACTTTAATTTCATCTTTGGAGCTACTGAAATTTTAGTTCAGCATGTTGCGGTAACTTCTTGTTGTAGTTGCTCATGATTTAAAAGGAATAATTTACGGGTGGAATTTTGATTACTTATTTTCCACCTATTTTCAACAATAATATTAACATTGAAACAATATTTCCCTTTTAGAAGATTGGAGGTTCTCAAGTTGATATTAGATTCACATTCCAACTATTCTTGTTTACAAAACTACAATGCTTATGCGTACATGTTTATGTTGTCATTTAGTTGATGCTCTTAGAGAAATTGCGAGTGCGATGGGTTCGGCATATTGGAAGTTTGATGCTGATTCCTGCAATATTGAAATGGTTGGACTAACGCATGAACCGCCAGATGAATCAGAGAGAAGCATTCGTTGTGACTGCAGTTTTGAAAACAATACTGTCTGTCATGTTGTGAGGATGTATGACTACCAAATTAGTTCATTCTCTTTTCTAAAGTTCTTGTGTTATGTGTTTTCATTGTATTATCTCTCAAATTTCCTCATTCAGTTATCTAAATTCACAAGTAATCTCGAATTTCTCTTTTAGTATTGATGAACAATGTGTCTCTGTTTTAGGATTCTCAAGCGCCTTAGTCTACCTGGCACACTCCCACCTCAACTGGCCAAGCTACCTTTTCTCCGAGAAGTGTATGACCAACTTAAATAAGTTAATCATTGTTTCTTGTTAAGAAAAAGTTGTAATGGGTTTTCACAAATTGGTTTGGTTCATTCCCGTTATAAACATTTTAAATAGTTCAGTGATTCTTTTATCTTAATATTTCCAAAAAAAAAACTCATTTTATGGACAGAGATTTTGCTTACAATTGCTTCACCGGTTCGATTCCAGAGGAATGGGCTTCGATGAAATTAGCTTCAATGTGAGTCTGAGTCTTTTCCAACTACTGCAAACTTTTCATTCTATCACTTTTATTTTATATAACTCACATATTACATACATCTGTATGCAGTTCTCTTCTTGTGAATCGCTTATCTGGGGAAATTCCAAAGCATCTAGGAAATATTACTACTCTCACATACCTGTATGTTCCAAGCTTTAACTTAATTCATTCATATTTGTCCTAGATATCATGTTTATTGAAATCCTAAAGAATGAGGTGTACTTTGACGCTGTTGTTGTGGTAGTATGTCATTTCTCATCCTTACTAACCTCTTCATTTGTCCTGTTTCCAATTAGGATGCTTGAAGCAAACCAATTTTCTGGTGCTGTTCCACCTGAGCTTGGGAAACTAATCAACTTGCAGACCTTGTAAGAGACCCCATTTCCTTTTCTTGTTTTCATTGCTCAATATGATTACTTGATTTTTTTTTTACTGCCTCTTGTAAGACATCATGTTTTCTTATAATTTTTTCTGTAATTTTAACACTGAAGGGTTCTGTCATCCAATCAATTGACTGGGAACTTACCTCTTACACTTGCTGGACTACAAAATTTGACTGACTTGTGAGTTTTGATTTTGTTCCTCCTCCTTAATTATAACCCAACTAATTAGCTCCTACAGTGCATCTCATGCATAAAATTCATTATCACATTGCAGTAGAATAAATAATAACAATTTTACTGGAACAATACCGAATTTCATACAGAGCTGGCAACTTCTCCAAAGATTGTGAGATTCTAATTCCCTTCTTTGTTAAATTATTTGACGGTTCTTTTGGAAAATATTAAATCTTATATTATTTCCAATTCCATACTCTTACCAATGTGATTTATAAAGAGAAATGCATGCAAGTGGACTAGAGGGACCCTTCCCATCAAATCTCTCTCTCTTGAAGAACTTAGTTCAGCTGTGAGTATATCTTTCTTTTAGTCTTACTTATTATGATACATTCTGTGCTTCATTTTGTCTGGCATATTTATATATATATTCTAGCTCATGGTAGCGCATATTTATACAGAAGAATAAGTGATATAGAAAGTCCTGCCCAGGTCTTTCCTCTTCTGGAGAACATGGCAAGCTTGACTATATTGTACGTGACAGCTAGTATGATGATATTTTCTCATATTTTGTTTCTTAAATATGAATATTTATTCTTTTACCATTATTCTGAAGTTTAACACAATTCAGTTTTGTGTTTTAAGGATTTTAAGGAATTGTAACTTATCTGGCGCGATACCTTCATACATCTGGACAATGACGAATTTGGCGGTTTTGTAAGTAAGCGTGTGAAGATAATTACATACCTATAACATGTTTATTCTGCATGTCTGTATTAATAAGAATAGGCTAACAAATGATGATAGAGAAAAGCTTGTTGCTGCCATTGCACAAATAATGTTTACAAATTACTATGTTCTTCTTGTATGAGTTGGTCCCCTTTATGTTGAGATATCTTACATTTGGTTTGTTTGTGCCAAATTGTTTTCAACTATGAAAACGTCAAGTATTTAAGGATGACCAAAAAGAAATGACTGAAGTGACGCTGTGATTATATGCTCTTATAAATTATGACAAGTTAACAATTTTAACATTGTTTAACAGAAGCTATAAAGAAAGTGAAAGCCAGTCAATAACCCAGTTAGGTGTTTGATTATTTCTATTTTCATCATGATACGGTTCAGTCCAAGTTCCAAGTTATAAGATGACTTGGTTCATGGATGGACGAAGGTGAGGATGGGTGCATCATGTGCAGAAGCGAGCAGTGGGAAGTAACTACAATGATGCTCCATTCCTCAAGTTAGTATTGTGCACTAGGATGGTGTTTTGGATGTAGTTACGTAAAATTATCTCTCTCCTTATGTTGGCAGTGACACATGCTAATTCTTGTCCAGGTTCATAGTCAAATCCTTGTCTTGTGAACGTGGCATCAAGAGAGTAACTTCCTTCATAAATGCTGTAGGAATGTCTTATACTAGGAATCTCTCTTTCTGTAATTGTTTGAGGGGACCCTGGAGACCTCAAATTAGGGATGACAATCAAACCGTATCCAGTGAGGGCCGATCCGTCCCACTGCCGAGTTAGTGAGGAAAAATCCAGAGTTGGCCGAGGCGGGGTCGGGTTCGGGTTTTCACTTTAAAAAGTCGGGCGGGGCGGGGATGGGTAATGCAATCCCACCCCGACCTCGCCCGTCCTCACTCCGACTTTATATTTAAATTTAAATTTTAAAATATTAATATTTTAAAAGTATTTCATTTTCTTTTTCTATTACATATAAGATTATTTTTTTATATTTCACCAATTTTTATTTTTCTTCTATCCACTTTTTAATTTTTTTATCTTTTTCAATCTTTTATATCAATTAATTTATTATATTATTCTCTCCCTTATCTTTCAGTTTTTCACATTTGCTTAGTTTCTCCCATCAATTTGTTTTTTTTTCAATCTTTTCAATCAATTTGATGAACACAAAGTTAATTTTTTTCTTTATCTTTTTCTAAATATTTTACATCAATCTTAGTAGTAACTAATATTAGTTTATTTATAATTTATATTTATTATGTCATATTTTTTTATCTTATTATGCTTATTTATCATATATCAAATTTTATCTTAATAAAATAATTGCATTTTAAAGGATTAAAAGAAATTAATAATTTAAAATTTTATTACTAATAAAATAATTGCATTTTAAAGGATTAAAAGAAATTAATAATTTAAAATTTTATTACTTCAAACTAATTAAATAAGAATTAACTTATTAAATATTTTCTTATAAACTATATATTGACAACTTAAAAATGAATTAACTTATATGTATAATTAAATATTTGAATACAAGTATTATAATAATAATGTTATAAATATTCAAATATTTAAATACAGTGTTATAATAATAATAATAATGTTATAAATATTAGATATATATATATATATATATATATATAAATAAAAAATAATTAAATATTTCTTTTACATATATATTTTAATATAAATATAATAAATTAAAATGTATATTTAATTAATAATAACTATAAATTATAAATATTTATTTATATATAAAAATACATAGTAAAATTAATTTATTATAAATATAATTATCTTTTAAAAATAATATAAATCGGGGACGAGGCGAGGCGGGAACCCGAAACCCGACGAGGACGGGGATGAGGACTTAATTTCAACCGCGAGGATCGAGGCGAGAACGGGGATGGTTAAAAAAGTCGGGAGCGGGGACGGGGAGGCAAAACCCGCCCCGCCCGTTGCCATGCCTACCTCAGATGGGGCCTAGGTGTCTCCTGGCCTTTTTTCTCTAGGACCCTAATCCAAAGTTCGAGTAGAAACATATATAATAAATCATATCTACATCAAAAAAGACAAATGAAAAGATTTTCTGCTAACTTAATTCTAAAAAATTGCAAATATAAGTATGAGAATGAGCTAAGTATTTTTGGTGACAACTTAATAATCTGAAGTTGAGTAACTGTACCAGGCAATATTAAGTATAAATCTCTGTGGTTAGTCTTTGTCATACCTTAAAAGTTCAGAATTATTTATTTTCTAAATACATAAACTGCAAACCTATATGTAAGGAGACACAGGAAAGGCGCTATGAATCTCCATTGTATTAAGATTTATCTGTATGTATTGACACTATAATTGTTATTGACTTGCTTTAAGTTCTTCTACAAGCTTCTTATATTATTGTGTGATTACATTTTTCTTGTAAAACGGCACTGCCTCATTCAAAGTGAAATTCTATGTTTTCAAAATATTTATGATAGGGATGTCAGTTTTAACATGCTCGTTGGGGGAATTTCTCCAATTATAAGCGCAAGGCGTCTAAGATTTATGTAAGCATCTTACTCTAATGTATATTGACACTTGAATTTTGGCTTAAAACAAAAGAGAGAAGAATTTAAGCAGATAACATATTTATATGAAAGCAAATAGTTCTACCTTTTAACCAATTTTTATGATTCCCGAATCATGTAATTCACGCAGAAAATTATAATTAATGAAACTGAATAATTTTTTTATGTTAAGTATTGGCACAATAAATTAAACAGTTTGGCATTGCTTCTGTTAGCTACCTAACAGGTAATATGCTTAGTGGCAATATACCGAATTCAATCCTGAAGGACGGAAGTAGCATGTAAGTTTTTTTCTGTGGTTCAAACTTCTTTATCTATATTACTTTACTATAATTAATGTTTTACTCTTGTAGATTTGGAATGTTTAGTATAAATATCATCTCCAAAGTGATTTACTATAATAACATGAATGTTTTATGATAGATTATACTTTTGAGTTATTTATTCAAATAATTTTTTTCTAATTTTAAAGAATTGTATCTAGTTTTAAACAATTTAAATATGAAACTCGTAATAAAATATTTATTTTTATTTCTAAACAATTAATTAAAACTTTAAATTTACTGACTCTATTTAATATGATCTTGTAGAAAGGAAAAATCTTATCCCATTCAAATTCCTTACAGAGAAAAAACTAAACTCAATAATCTATATCTCAAAAGATATTTGGAAGAAACTTAGTATGTGTAATGTGAAGTTGTTAGTTTCTGAAGCACTAAAGAACAAACTAAGTGTACTTCATTTTGGGTTGTGCACAACTACCACTTATATTTCCTTCATCTATATCTCAAAAGAACCAAGTTACAGCATTTTTAATGCAGAAGTCTTAAAAAAGTCTTAAATTTAAGATCCAAATGTTGTCAGAAAACGAACACTGATTTTTTTAACAATCGATACATCCATTTACCTACTCAAAATATTAATATATTAGTTAATAAAAAATAGTTGTCTTAAATATGTGAGTGGTCAATCCAACATTTTCGAAAGAAAAATTGTATATAACAATTGATGTCACACAATAGAAGTCTTAAATTTAAGAACTATATCTTATATAAGATCTTGGGTCTTTATAATAAAAAATAATATTTCAATATCAATAATTATTTTCAGAAAATACCATTTTTAATATTTCAAATTTTCACAAATTGAAATGCAAATAAATTATTATAAAAGTGTGAGTTCTTGTAAAACTTCTTTGTTAAAACAAAACTTGTAAAAATATAATGTAAATTGTTTAAAAGTGATGTGACATCCCTTACGTTATAGATTCTCTATGCCTGTGAAATCAGAGCAGAAAAGCACATAGAAAGACAGGGAGAGAAGGGTATCTCTGGTTAGGATGTAAAAAAAGTACCAGAATTTTCATGATGGGGCATCCATTGATTGGTCTTCATCATACTGGAGGATGATGGAAGCCAGGGGTTCCTTTATTCCTTTTCAGCTTCGTGTTGGTTATTCCTCGTACATGAAAATATTATAAAGCAGGGTTCTTTTTTCTTTGGCATTGCCCTTTGTTATGTGTGTACAAAGGGATTAACTAAATTTAGGGCATGATAAACAGCAAATGCTATGTATTGTCTCCTCTGCTGTATTTCTTCTCCCTTTTTCCTTTTGATCTTTTATATGTGAGTGTTTCGGAAAGGATTGAAAGAGGATAGGAATCCTTGATGGCATTTTAATATCAGTAACTGGTCTTGAATGCTTTAAATTCATTTTTTTAGTGGCAGTACATAATTATAAACAACAATCGGATTTCAATTTATGGTTTATTTCTGACAGAGGTTCCTTATTGTGTTGGACACAGTGATCTATCGTACAACAACTTTACTTGGCAAGACGATGAGCAACCTGCTTGTCAGGATGGCATGTCTGTGAAAACATTTTCAATAATATTATTTCCTCTATATTTTTCAAGTTGGAATTTTTCGTAACTGAAATTTGTTTCCCATTGTTTCACTTAGTAGGAACTTGAATCTGAATCTGTTCAGAAGCTCGATTAAGAAGAATAAGTTGTAAGATCCCCTTCTCCAGTTTTGGTTACACAAGAAGCCAATTGGAAATGATTTATTTGCAAGAATTTAATTGACATAATTTTTCTACTTTAATTAATGAGAAAATGATATAGTAATAAATTAGTGGATATTAGCGTAAAATTTCTTAGGAGATGCAAACAATATATCCATTTACACTGCCTTTCTAACACATTATTTAATATTGGATGCATTTTATAATGTCCCAGAAAATTTTATTGAGGACAATGTGTGGAAAAATATTTGTACCTACAGTGCTAGAAGTCTTCAAACTTATTTGTACCTACAGTGCATACTAATTAAATTGTATTTGAAAATTATGAGCTAATTTTTGTTTTGCAATTGACAGAGAGGAGTACGTTCCTTGCTCCAAGAATTTCAGCTGTTCACGGTGTAAGTTACATTATTCTGGACTATCATGTCATGGCTGCTTGCAGTTCAATTTTTGTTTTTATTTCCAGGCATCTACTAACTACGAAAACATGTTTATTTGACGTAATTATTTAATAATTTAAAATTACTAAATATCATTTATTATAGAAAATGTTAATTTACTTGACTAAATTATTCTCTGTTATTCAAAATAGTGTCACTCCTTGAATAATATCTCTCGTTCTATTATTTAACGTAGAAGATTTCTGAATAAACGTAACAAAATAATGCCTTAACTTTCTAAAATAAAAATTAGTTAAATTATTTTTAAAAGAAATAACAAACATTAAAAATAATTGCAAGACCTACATAAACCATTTTTCATTGGCTTTCTCAGAAAAGTGACAATGAGTCAGAAGGATAAAGCCCAAAGATTTCCACGTTAGATGTGCTGCTCATACTAGGAGTGTAGTTGAATCAAAATGTACATGAATGGAAATGTTGCTTAATCAAATGATGAAAATTGGAACATGTGATAAGTGTGTAAATGTGTGTGTATGTATGTAGCAATATTCAAATAAAAATAAATGCAGGGTAGCAAATTGACACTGTTATATTTAATTTCATATGAAACTTTGTTCTGTAAGTAGTAGCTAAATAAATTTTCTTATTCACTGTCACAAAAAAACAATCTTACTCACTCTTTCTTATCCAACTTTCAGTTTCAAGTTGTTTACATGTTAACTGTGGTGGGAAGGATGTAAAAATAAAAGATGATAAAGGAGAAACCCTTTATGTGGGAGATGAAGATGTTCAGGGTGGCACTGCAACTTATTTCTATAGTAATGATCACTGGGGATTTAGTAGCACTGGAGACTTCATGGATGATTTTGAGGCGCAGAACATACGTTACACTGTTTCTCTGCCATCTTCAAATATGCCAGAACTATATAAAACAGCGCGTGTATCTCCAATTACACTTACTTATTTCCATAACTGCATGCAAAATGGGAACTATACAGTAAACCTTCACTTTGCTGAGATACAGTTTACGAATGATAAAACATATAAAAGTCTTGGGAAGCGCATATTTGATGTCTATGTTCAGGTAACCGATTTAACGGATGAATTTTGCTTTAATTTTCAGATTATGAATTAATGCATTGACTTCGTCTCAGGGAAGACTGACTCGCAAAAATTTTAATATAGAGAGTGAGACAAATGATACTGAAAAACCACTGGTACTGCCTATATACAATATCAGCATCACAAATAATGTCTTGGAGATTAGATTCTACTGGGCTGGAAAAGGAACGACAAGAATTCCTGATGCTGGAGTTTATGGTCCCCTTGTATCAGCTATATCTGTGGTTTCAGGTGGATACTACCCCATGGCAAGATGAGTGTAAATTTATTGTATTTAAATTTGAAGGGTGTCACCATCACTGTTTATGGTTTCTAAGTCTAATATCACTTCTCTAGAGTATACTACTCTGCTACTATTGGAAAAGAACGCCCTTAAACAAAAAGAACGTCATGAAACAGTACTTCTACTTTCATTTTTATATTTGGTATGCTCTTTTTTGTTTCTTAATAGCATTCTTCATATGGCTTTCTTGATCTTTTTAGTAAAGATAAAATGGAATGTCTGATTCTTATCACTTCTTAGGTAAGCATTCTTTATACTCTCAATATCATTTCTACACATGTTAATTGAAGACTACACCTTTTAGTATTGGCAGCAATCTTTATGAGTGTGATGACCTTTTTGTCTTTTGAAGCCATCTTATGAATATGATGGCTAGTTCTGTATAACATTCAGCATGACACATTGTGCTTTGAACAGATTCTAGAATTTGCTCAAATGGGAAAAAGAAGGTTGTTGTTTCGATAATCATAGCCAGTGTAGCCGGTGCTCTATGCTTAGTGTCATTTATATCTGGATTCATTTGGTGGAAGTGGAAACGGTTTTTCGGAGGGAAACTGAAAAAGAAAGAAGGTGAAGTCTTATACTTTGTAAGCTGTATACTGCGAAATATCCATCGCGGAGTGAGAGTACATGTTTGCACAGACTAAAAACATTGTTTTCAGTCATTATTTATTTCTGCAGAGCTGATAAGTTTGAGGGTTTTGTTTATAATTGGAATTTTGATGACTACTGGCTAATGCAGCATGACCTACATGGACAGGTGCAAAAGATGGTGATATTCAGGCAGGTAATTTTAGCCTGGAGCATATCAGAGCTGCCACTAATGACTTCTCGTCTGCTAATAAGATTGGAGAAGGCGGTTTTGGTCCTGTATACAAGGTTTTTAGATGACTTCCAAATCATTTGATTTCATTGAAATGGAATTTTCTGTTTATGCCTGGCATACTAGGTTTCTGCTAACCTGGATGCAACAATGCAGGGTCAATTGCTAGATGGTACTTTTATAGCGGTCAAGCAATTGTCATCAAAATCACGGCAGGGAAATCGTGAATTTATAAATGAAATAGGCTTGATATCTTGTGTGCAACACCCCAACCTTGTAAAGCTTCATGGATACTGTGCTGAAGGGGAACAGCTTTTATTGGTTTATGAGTACATGGAAAATAACAGCCTTGCCCGAGCTTTATTTGGTTAGTAATTACTTGTCCATGACTTTCTTGATGTCTCATGTGTGAAGTGGTCATGTGAGAAGCTCTATATGAATAAAACTAATCTTTACATATATTTCTCTATGCCTAAATTATTTTACCCTATAATCCCTCTAAAGTGGATTTCAACAATATGTAATACAAGTTTTAAAGATGATTTGATTCAAATGAGCAGCAGTAAGGCCCCTTGATCTTTATAGGTAGTGAGAACCATCAGCTTAAATTGGATTGGTCTACAAGGTTTAGGATTTGCATTGGCATAGCTAAAGGGCTAGCATTTCTCCATGATGAGTCAAGATTCAAGATAGTGCACAGAGATATCAAGGCTTCTAATGTGTTACTCGATCGTGATTTGAATCCAAAAATATCTGACTTCGGCTTGGCTAAGCTTGATGAAGCAGAGAAGACCCATATCAGCACCCGGGTTGCTGGGACCATGTAGGTTGCCTTTGCACTAATCAAACATAAATCTGTAAATATTATTTTCCAGTTACCTATTTTTTATTTTTTTTTCTCGTAGAGGATATATGGCACCAGAATATGCATTATGGGGCTATCTTACGTATAAGGCTGATGTTTACAGTTTTGGAGTTGTGGCATTAGAAATTATTAGTGGGAAAAGCAATAACAATCATTTACCAGACGATGGAAGTGCTTGTCTTTTGGATTGGGTATGCTCAAAGCACCTAGCTATATTTTTTAATTATAAACCCTTCATTTTTTTTTATTGCTTATTTAAAGTTACTTAATCCTTTAAAGATAAACAATAATTGATATTTACAGGCATGTCAGTTAAACCAAGCTAAGAACTTATTGGGGTTGGTTGATGAAAGGTTGGGGCCAGACCTTAATGAAACGGAAGTAGAAAAGGTAGTCAGAATAGCTCTCCTGTGCACAAATGCTTCTCTATCACTTAGGCCTACAATGTCTGAGGTGGTGAATATGCTTGAAGGACAATTAGATATTCCAGATGCAATCCCAGAACCAAGTACCTACAGTGAGGATTTAAGGTTCAAAGCCTTAAGGGACCTCCAGCAACATCGATCAAAGCAGAGTTTGAGTCCAAACCAGAGCCAGAATTCATCGACTCATATATTCAGCTCAGCATCTCCTGGTAATACTCACATTACGGAGTAACATTGAGAATCATAGTTTGACAGTAGTTAGCCAACCCCATCAACAACTTGGATACACATTAACGAGTTAGCAGTGGTAGCTCCAGATCCTTGGGGCTTCAAAATTTTGATCATCAACAGCCATATTAAACAAGAGTGCTCTTAGCACATTCATGGAACCCTCTACTTCCACTAGTGAAGTTTTCTATTTTCTGCAGAGATATCTCACCAAAGGAGTACGAGAATATTATATCTACTAATATTCATACAAAACGATCACTTGCTTTCAAACCTTAGATGCAGCATAATTAACAAAGTCACATAAAACATAGAAAATAACACAGATTCTTCATTCTAATTACTAAAAGTAGAAATTTTGTCCATAATGCCAGCCACGACGTCCTTACTTTCTTTCAGAATCTTAACGCTCCTATCAAGCGTCTCGCGTTTCACGGCAACTGAAGGAGTTTCCTCCAACAATCTCTCGATTCCACCTCCACACGAAGACATCAGATCTTTCAAAACCTCGTCTCCGAAATCCCTTTTCAAAAGATTGAAAATGCTGGATTGCAGATGCAGAGCAGTGTTGTCAATCAGCCTCCGCAGCACAATCTTCCAGTATGCCGTCAGTCTCATTTTCAAGTCAAATGCTTGCCGAAGCATAGTTGGAGAGTGAATCAGATGACTAACCTTAATGGTCCCAAATTCATCAAGAACTACCTGAGAAGATCTCCCAGTAACCATATTCACGAAATAATCCTGTTTGGCCATTAGCTTATTATACTCAATCATGTAGTCAGGACTGCAAGTATAATCGGTTAACTGCTCCTTTTCCACAACCTCCATAACATATTTAATAGAATTCTCCTTCATCTTCGCAATAAGCTTCTGCGCAGCTCGTTTTGCACATGTCTGAAGTTGGTGATAGTGTTCTGAGTGATCTTCCAGAACAGCCACCACCACCTCCTCAAGATAGTCCCACAACTTGTCAATGAACTCAATTGGCATGCTTGAAATGGCTTTCGCTTCATTCCGTACAAGAGCAAGAAATGCAGTGCGTGGCATGAAGTTTGGAAGTCCAATACACCTGGCTTCTTCTAGCACCCCAATTTCTACCATCAAAAATTTCTTATCACCGTCACTTCCAGGACCCTTGCGAAGATCATTTGAGTACTGATCCAGCATATCAACAAGGCGAGCAGTGGAATGCATATACTTGTCATCAGGGTACTCGTCAAATTCTCCTTTAAGAAGAATCTTCCTGAGGGACTCTCTTGCCAACCCCATGATATGCATGAATTCAGCCATTACATCAACCAAAGAAGGGAGGTTTCTGGGCAATTTGTCCAGCTCGGCAAGACGAGAACCGAGCTTGTCATTGATCTTCTTGACAATTTCTGGCAATATTTTCGAAATACCGGCCGCTTGAAGCTGAACCAGTTTCTGTGCCAAAACCGGAATGCCAACCATGGACTTGTCAATTTTGGACAGATATGTGTGCGTCTTGAATAGTTTGGCTTCTTCTTCTCGAGAAGCTTCGTAGGACTCGTCTCCAATGCGATTTCTTACACACACATAGCCAAGACCGATGTTCACATCATCAGAAATGACCTTTTCATACAGCCCCTCCGGGAAAATATCAACTTTTGTGACCACAGCAAGAGTCCTCTCTCCAGTTGTGTCAACACCCTGTGACATCCTAATGGACTCACAAGTAGAGAAATCATGAGTGGCAGATAAAACATTGAGAATAATGCTCTCCTCAGGCCTTATATACTCCATAATAATATCCTTAATCTGGTCATAGATATCCTCAGGTTGACCATGAACAGGCACGCGAGTGATACCTGGAAGATCAACCATAGTGAGATCAGGAACACCGTTCTTCTTCACCACAAGAGTTAACGGGGTGTTGGAAATTCCTTTCCCACCCCCTGCAAGCTCATCTGTGGCAACTCTAATTGCTTCAGAGACGTGAGCCTCATCAGTGGACATAGTTTTGGCATTATACTCCAAAACCATCTCCGGTTTGGGAAGTGAGTGGTTTTGGAGCCTCATGACTAAGGGTACCCTTGTGCAGATACCTTGTCCACGGGGCAAGCTTATTCCAGCGAGAGATTCTAGAACACTGGACTTGCCAGAAGACTGGTCACCAACAACAACTATGGTTGGAAGCTGTATCCCTTCTTTGGTGATGTTGAGACGCCTCAGGTTCTCGAGAGCGTCAAGAACCGGACGAATGTGATCGTTGAAAGAGGACACAATGGGTGCAACATTTTTCGCCTGGTTTTGCTCGGATTTTGGTGTGACGAGATCGAAACCAGAGCAAAGGGCTCCTTCCCCCATTTCCATGTAAGGCTACGGTGAAACAAAAGGATCAGGATTCGAAGGAAATGCGACAAGACAATGCAAGTGGAGGTAAAGAGTGAGGAGTATGTTCATGAAAGTTGTGCTGGTTATCCTTTATTTATGGAACAAATACGATTAATATTAATAGGAATTTAAAGACAAAGTTAATCATATTTTTAAGTATCAACTCTTATTTATTTTAAATATTTAGATCAAAATGCGACTTTTTTTTCGTAAATAATATTCTTTTCAAAAATATTTTTGAAAATAAGTACATCTCTAACTTTATTTACATAACTAAGACGATTTACTATTCACATAATAAAATAATCGATCATTTTTATATTATGATCGATCATTTCACGTAATGAACTCTCGCCAAGCAAAACAACCTTGCTTGAGCGAAGACAACCATCGCTGAGCTGAGTAAATCAGTAACAAAGGGTAATCTTGGTAAATTCTCGCTCAGCGAAGAAACTCATCACTTGAGCGATAAAATCAGAATCGAAGGGTAATTATCGCTCAAGCTGATCGGATATTTTCGACTGAAGTGAAAAGTATGATCGATTATTATCCATTTATATCGATCATATATGACTTTAGATAGCGGTTATTTGGCCAACCGCTATCTAAACTACTACATTGAAAGCGGTTAAAGTCTCAACCGCTATCTAATATATATTTTTAAAAGCGGTTATGCTATCAATCGCTATCTAAGAGTGACTCAACAACAGATCAATGTTAGTTGTATAAATAAAAGTTACGTAAATGCTATTTTGTAAAATAATTTTAAAAACAAGTATTATTTATGAAAAAAATTATATTTAAACTAGTGTCCTTGATTTGAGGTGAATAAATTAATCTAAAACTATACGAATTAATGAAGTAATTTTGAGTTTGAATAATGCACATATAAATATACTATATGTAGCATTGTGGCATCAGTGTTTTCGTATTTCAACCATTATATTTTATTTAAATTAATTAAAATAAAATGTTAACTATTTATTTTAACTGTCTTTATTTATTATATGGAAATAAAATGTTGAATATATTATTTTTATACAGCATATTATAATGAGATTAAAAAAATAATAATAATTAAATATATTAATGAGATAAAATTTAAGAGTCGTGTGCTTCTCAGAAAAATGAAAATTTAAGAAAGGCTGATAAAAATAAATGAAGGCGGAAAAAAATATTTCTTCTGTTATAAATAAAACGTAATTTTTTCTATATTATTTTCTACTCTTATATAAGTAAAAAATATAAGAATTTTTTTCTTTCATATGTTTAGTTTAGTGTATTTTTTAATAATTTTTTTTATTTTATATTGTACTTTATTTTTGAGACATGAATACCTCTTATTCATCCAAAATTAATTAATAAATATATGTAAAAAATTATTTATTTATTATATTTAAAAAAATACACACTTTTTTATTTTTATGTTTCTTTTCAAACAAAATTTTGCGAACGAATCATAATTCGTAAATGTGTGAAAATAGATGATGACAGAGAGCAATATATCTGTGTAAAAGTTTTATTTTTAATATATATATATATCTCTGATATATACAAGTAAAAGGAGCCTTTTTAAGTGAGAGTGTTACACAAAGTTCACCATCGTCAAATTGGTAATGTTTTATTACTTTTAAGGGAATTGATAAATAAATAAAAGAAACAAGTCAGGATGTATATAAAAAAATATATAATCTGTTTAGTTCAATTATTTAATAATTAATTCCATTTAATTATTAATTTTAATGAGTTTAGTTTTTAAATTAAATTAGTATAGTATCTTTTATTAATATTTTAAAACGTTAACATATTTTTAAGAAAAATATGAATAAAATGACATTAAAGAATAATAAAACAATATTAAAAAAACTTAAAAAAATTTAAAAATAATAAAACGAAAGAAATATTTAACATTTAAAGAGAAGGAAAAACTCCCAAGTAGAACACTATTTAATTGAATCCACTATTGATAGGTATAGATTAATTAAGTATAAATATTATTGAGATTGATTTATACATACCAATGTAAAACACACCTAGTTTAATAATAATAAAAAAACATAAAATTAATTATTGTATGTGCTGATTTTAGTGTAATTGAACTGAAAAAAATCATTCGAGAGACGTGATACTTTCTTTCTATTATTGATTTGGGAATTTGAATTTCATCTTGAGAAGAAAATAATGATTATGTAACTTATTTATACTCTGATTTTCCTTTTCTAATTGCGATTTACAATAAATAAATAAATATATTAATACAACAAATATAATATATTTAAAATTAATAATATGTTCAACCACTTTGTTTTTTGGATAAATAAATTCTTTAACAAAATCAAAATAATACATCTTTATTTTTGTCATGAAATTACTCAATGTTATTTTAAATTATTATAAAAATTATGTAATTTTTGTTATGAAATTAATTAATATTATTTTTAAATATTAAAATTAATTTACGTATCATAGCTTTATATATATACTATTTCATTTTCATGATTATTAATTGGTTATATAATTATTTAAAATAATAACTTATTTTAATAATTATATTATAAAAATATGAATACTAAATAGGCAGAATGAATCTTAACTTTTTGTGTTTTGAATAAGTGGATCTTTTAAGATTTTAAATTTAAATTTAAATTTAAATTATTATTAAATTAAGATAAAATATTATTTAGATTATCAAATTAAAAAAAATTAAAAAAAAAAGCAAAGACGTGATTTTTATTATGAAAATAAGCGGATTATTTTTATTTATATATAATAATTATTACTTGTTTTAAAGATTTATTTTTTATTCTTATTATTTTTTATAATTAATTATTAGGATGTATTATTATTTTTTATTAAAAATTTGAAACAAAGAATAAATTAATAATTTCTCCCTTCTGATTACTTAGATTTGTGAATTAACTTATCCTGTTTTGATATTTATATATATTTATTATTATATAAATTTTGTTATTATATTTATATATATTTATTATTATATAAATTTTGTTATTATTCTAAATTATAAATTTTTAAAATAATATATTAATTTTTATTTTTAATTTAAATATATATATATATATATATATATATTAAATTATTAATAATAAAAGATAATTTTATTACTAAATTTATTAAAAAATTTAATTTACAAATAAATAAATAATTTTTTATTTAAAATATGATAGATCATCTTATTCTTCGATGAAAAGATCTATAACGAATCAACTCTTTTGACCCGTTTAATTATTTATATCTAAATAAGATAGATTTACAACAAAAGTTATTTCCATGGATTGAGGAGAAAAAAAATACGAAAAGGCTAAATTAAATTATATATAATATATAAATAATAATAATAATAATAATAATAATATTAATAACTATTTTAATAATAAAATTTATAATATTATAATTACAAAATTAATTATAATAATAATTTAAAATAAAAATAATTTAAATAATTATATTATTTTAATTATAATAATAAATATATAAATAATAATTATAATTTTATATTATTAAAATAATAATAATAATTATTATTATAATTAAAATATTTTAGAGTATATTAATAATAATAATTTTTATTTAATTATTTTTTATTTTTATTAAAATAACTTTTTTATCATTTATATAAATCAAATTATAAACTTTATTTATTTCTATATATTTTTTAACTTTTTTTTCTTTAATCTAAATAATTTCACCTTTATTCATCTTTCCACCAAAATCTAGTTTTTGGGATCCATGCAATCCATCTTATAATCCGTACACATAATAAATTTTGGGATTCAAAATAAAATTAAGATATATTGATAAACTCAGGTATTCATTCAATACACACCAACTTTTTGGTAATTAATATGCTGAGGTGAAGGTACACCGCATCATAAACGACTTGACATCATCACAATTTATCCGTTTTAATATGTTGATAAACCACGTGATACTGATTTGGATTGAGTCGAGGTCACCTTCTCATCTATGCTTTTTGCACGCTTCTCGCTCATCAGATTCTCTTTTTACAGTATACGGTCTGCGGACTGTATTGTACTTGTATCCTTACGTTACGTGCAAGACACGCATATATCTGCAAATGCGCCGCCACTGTATTGTACTTTGTATCCTTACGCTCTGTATTGTGTGCAGATTTTAAGCTCTGGCATTGGAAGTTGTTACTGGAAAAAGTATTGAAAATTTTAGGATTTTTATTTTTATATATATTTTTTATCAACTGTTTTAAAATCAAACCGATTAATAAATTAATAAAGATATAAATTTATAATTTTAAAATTTAATTAAATAATATTTTTATCATATATCAATATAATTTATAATAAATTTATTATTAATAATAATATTTTTTTATAAAATTAAAAAAATAATTATAATAATAATAAAGGTTCAACTCAATCCTTCTAAATAATAATTACAAAAATATAAAATATATTAAGAAATAAAAAACTAAAATAATTATAAAATTTAAATTTAAATATAATAAAATAATATAAATTGATATGATTAATATAAGATAAATGAAGAAAAAAATTAAAAAAATTATACTTTTTATATATATTAAAAAAAGTTAATCTTTAATTTTTTATAAAATTCTTTCGATTAAAAAATTAAAATAATTTTATATTAATTTAATTAATTAAAAATATTACTTTTTACACTAATTCCTTATCCATCAATTCAATCTAATTTTTAAAATAGTATTTTTTTTATAAAAAAATCTCTCTTAAGATATTTTATTTTTATCTTCAATGTATTAAAAGTAAAAATATAATTATATTTTTATCTTAATTATTTAAATTAAAATAATAATATAATATTTATTAATTAAAATATAATAAAAATGTGACGTATACTTTTTATTATTGCAAGAAAACTTCGTAACGAAATTTTCCTTATGTACAGTAAATTTTTTCTTATATATGTGCGTATTGAAACGGGGAAGGAGGCAGAATTGAAATTTTCCTCTCATCCTTCTTCTTTTTCTTTTGTCTAAATTTCAAGCAACGAGACTCTACTCGTGCAAGATCTGGTGAAACGGGAGAGAGAACTTGAATTAAGTGGGAAAGTTTCGGTAGAAATATCATACCAGGTAAGGGGAAGTTTAATTCATTCAATATATGAAATTGAATTGCTGGGTACTCTGTGAACAAGAAATATGAGTAAAGATAAGAATTATTTAAATGTCTAATTTTGAATAATTTCTCATTCTGATAAATTGTTCATCGTTTAAAATTTTTTGAAATTCTTAAAATTAAGGATGAATTATGTGGTAAAATTGTTGTTTTCAACTTAAATTAGATATAATTCATGTTTAATTTGAATTTGGGACTAGTTTGGTTGTCTAAAACTGAGTAATTTGAAATCAGCTAAAATCTGCAAATTTTGATAATGTTACTGAGAAGAAAGGGACATGGAAGGAATTTTCGAAAATGTTCAAGGGTAAAATAGTCATTTTCGAGACATGGAAGAAATTTTTGAAAATGTTCAAGGGTAAAATAGTCATTTTCGGGACATGGAAAGAGTTTTTGAAAATGTCCAAGGGTAAAATAGTCATTTTCGGGATATGGAAGGAATTTTCGAAAATGTTCAAGGGTAAAATAGTCATTTTTACGACATAGAAGGAATTTTAAAAAATGTCCAAGGGTAAAATAGTCATTTAGGGACATACATGGAATTTTCGAGAAAAGATTAAGGGCAAAATAGTAATTTAATGATTTTGAAAAAGATTTTGGAAATGATTTGAAAAGATTTTGGAAATGATTTAAAGTAATTTTGAAAATGATTTTGGAAAAAAATTAGAATAATATATATATATATATATATATATATATATATATATAATATAGAATGAATGTAACATTTTTAAAGATTCAGTAGTGTGTTGTGACGTGTGTGGGTTAGACGGAGTCTAAGGCATGATGCCCAGAATCAGTCATGAGAGGTTATGTATTGGCTAGACTGAGTCGGGGGATTGGTGCCCAGAATCAGTCAAGTACTATTATTTATTGACCCGAATGAGCCATAAGGACAGGTGGTCGAGAATCCAGTGAGATGTGAATGATTTTTGTTGTGTTTGAATGGTACCGGGGTGGTACGAGTACATTAGTGTAATAACTATGTCGGAGGATTCTGAATGAGGTCCCGGACTTCACTAATTGGTCGGGTCGGATAGGCTACGAGATCGAGGTGGTGAGAAGTCGATGGGGGATGACTGGTGGCGCGCTCGGAGGGGTACTCCGAGTATGAGTGATGAAGGGTGTCGAGTAATCCTACTCGTGTGGAGGGTGGTCGGAATGGTATTGCGGGTGTCGATCACAATGTGCCAACAGATGATAGTCTACGAGTTCGGGCATAGTTAAGATATACTTCGGAATGTGTCTTAGTGTGTTGATGATTTTGTAATTGATCATAATATATAATTATTAGTTCTATATTTTTTTTATTATATCGAATGATTTAATTTACCCCTATTTTTCCATGTGGATGAGGCTGCGATAATCACTTTTATGTAAGAGCGAGATAAGGAGTTGAGAGGTGGAGATGTGACTATTCGGACAATAGGGATAGTTTAGTAGGATAGTTTTGCGGGAGCTACTTTTATATATATAATATATAAATAAAAGATGTATTATGTTATGAGGTTATGTTAATGAACTGGAATTTCAATATATATTATAATAATATAGTGTAAGATAAATATCATTATTTACTTATTTATTATTTTGCAAATCATAATTTATAGGATGGTTACAAAATAAACGTCTTAAAAGCATTAAAAAAATAATATTTTTAACAAACACTTTACTTCTACATTATGATAGGTTAAACGGTCAAGAAGAAATGTGTAGAAATTGGTAAATTGTTGTGATATAGAATAACCCAAATAGTTTATAAATATTAAAAAAATTTGTGGAACCCTACGAATGAATTTCTTCATTAAACTGTGAAAAAATTTTCTCTTACACATTTTAACGTTTTAATAGCTTAATTTCATAGTTACTTGTACTATATATAAACCTATAGGAGCACCGGATACAGCATGTATGCAATAAAAGATTCTAAAAAAATAAGATCCAATACATATAATATACTTATTTAAAAATATATAAAAATTATGTATGAAACATGATAAATATAAAATTATAATAATATAAATTAAAATTTCAAATCATACTTTTTAAATAATGTAAAAATAAAAATTATAAATTATTCTTATTATAAAATATTTTCTATTATTTATATATAAAAATAATATTATCAATCTCATTCATTTTTTAAAATAATTTAAATGAATAGTTTTTTTTTGGTTTATAAAAAATTCTATAGGTTTCTATTTAACAGATACCTGTATCCTTAAATTTTTATTGAATGATCAGATTTAAAAATTTGTACATTTAACTGATATACATATGTAAAATAAATAAAATTATTAATATTTCTTAAATTTAAATATTTTATTAATAAGTATTAATAAAATATGACACGGTTTCTTTCGGAGTCGGATAAGTGAAAGACATAATTTTTGTAGAATTCGAAGACACGTAGATTCAGCTCAAAATTTGGTGCTAATACTCACACTGCAAGTTACGTGGACGATTACAGTTCTGTTTACAATAGTTAGTTTTCCCATTTCAACAGCTTAGATAAACATTTACGAGATAAGAGGTGTATTTACGAGATAATTTATTTTATTTTTATTAAATTATTTTATAGATTATTATATTAATAAAAATGAATTATTTTAAATATTTTATAATTTCTGATTGTCAAAAATATGTCCTTCTTTCCAAACAGAGTTTTGCACATTTCAAATTGTGAAACCTGATTGGGTCAAACCAAACTAACCTAATCCTATCATGTTGGTTTTGGTTCAAGTTGTGCAAGACAATATTCAGATATGAATCAATTCAAATCAAACCAATAGAAAATTATTGGTTTGAATAGTTATATTGAACATGGTATGTTGTTTTTTCAAGCCTTATTGAATGATCTCAGTTGTTTAACCTTTGATTTATGCCTACATTTTTTTTTTTAGTTATAAACAACCCTACATTGCTTTTCGCCGTTAACCAGTAATGCATATTGATCAAAGTTTTCAGTTACGTGAAAGAAAAAAGTGTAATTCATGAGGGGGGCAGATCAGCTGCATGAAACTAGAATTTGGTGAAACAAAATTATGCAAGGCTGGGTTCTGAGGTTGACAAAACAAAAACATAAAACGAAGCTCTATAACTCAGGCCTCCAATATGTCTGAAGGAGGGAATATTCTTGGAAGAGAAACAGGAAGAAAAGAAGCAATGCAACATTTAGGAATTAAAGTTAGTCATTTTACAGAAATTCTCTGAAGCTTTTCAAGGAACAAGGGATAAAACTTAAACCCTTTATTGTAAACCTCCATTGTCTTCGAAGTTCAGAAAAACACTGTATAACTTCAACAACTATATACCACACACATTAGAAATCTAGTACCAGTAGTAATAATAATAATAATAATTAAGGGACTAGAATATGGGAGGATTATATATATTTATATATAACAAACACTAATTTGACCTTAAATAGATGCAGCAGAATTGAGCAAATCATTCAACATGAAACAAAAAGGTAGACTCTGAGCTCTAATCATCATAGCTAGAAATTTTGTCCATTATGTTAGCCACGACTTCTTTGCTTTCTCTGAGAACTTTAATGCTCCTATTGAGCTTCTCACGCTTCTGGGAAACTGATGGAGTTTCCTCCAACAACCTCTCAATTCCACCGCCATATGGAGACATCATCTCTTTCACAATCTCATCTCCCAGATCCTTGTTCACAAGGTTGAAAATGCTGAATTGAAGATGCAGGGCAGTGCTGTCAATCAGCCTCCGAAGTACAATCTTCCAGTATGCTGTTAGTCTCATTTTCAAGTCAAACGCTTGCGGAAGTAAAGTTAGGTACTGTCTCAGATGACTAACCTGAATTTCCCCAAAACCATCCAGAAGTTCCGTACAATATGACCCAATCTTAACAGTCTTGATGAATGCTTCCTGGTCAGCCATTAGCTGATTATACTCACTCATGTATTCAGGATTGCAAGTGTAATCAGTTAATTTCTCCATTTCCACAACCTCCATCACATATTTCATAGAATTCTCCTTCATCTTAGCAATAAGGTTCTGCCCTGCTCGTTTTGTACATGTCTGCAGTTGGTGGTAGTGTTCCGAGTGACGCCTCAGAACAGCAACCACCACTTCCTCAAGATAGTCCCACACCTTGTCAGTGAACTCAGTTGGCATGCTTGAAATTGCTTTCACTTTATTCTGTAAGAGAGTTAGAAAAGCATTGCGTGGCATGAAGTTAGGGAGGCCAATCCACTTGGCTTCTTCTAGCACCTTTATCTCTCCCATCAAAAACTTCTCACCATCATCACTTTCAGGATCCTTGTGAAGATCATTTGAGTACTGATCCAACATATCAACAAGGCGAGCAGTGCAATGCATGTGCTTGTCATCGAGGTACTCTTCAAATTCTCCTCTGAGAAGAATCTTCCTCAGGGACTCTTTTGCCAACCCAATGATATGCATGAATGCAGATATTGCATCAGCCACAGAAGTAAGGTTCTTGGGCAATTTGTCCAGCTCAGAAAGCTGAGAACCGAGTTTGTCATTGACCTTCTTAACAATTTCAGGCAGTATTTTGGAAATACTAGCCGCTTGAAGTTGAACCAACTTCTGTGCCAAAACCGGAACCCCCACAATGGACTTGTCAATTTTGGACAGAAGTGAGTGAGTCCTGAATAGGTTGACTTCTTCTGCTCGAGCATCTTCGTAGGACTCATCCCCAATGCGATTTCTGACACACACGTAGCCAAGTCCAATATTCACATCATCAGCAGTTACCTTCTCATGCAACCCCTCTGGGGCCTTATCTGCTTTTGTTACCACAGCAAGAGTCCTTTCTCCCGTTTTGTCAACACCCTGTGACATCCTAATGGACTCACAAGTAGAGAAATCATGAGTGGCAGATAAAACATTGAGAATAATGCTCTCCTCAGGCCTTATATACTCCATAATAATATCCTTAATCTGGTCATAGATATCCTCAGGTTGACCATGAACAGGCACGCGAGTGATACCTGGAAGATCAACCATAGTGAGATCAGGAACACCGTTCTTCTTCACCACAAGAGTTAATGGGGTGTTGGAAATTCCTTTCCCACCCCCAGCAAGCTCATCTGTGGCAACTCTAATGGCATCCGAGACGTGAGCCTCATCCGTTGACACGGTTTTGACATTATACTCCAAAACCAACTCGGGTTTGGGAAGTGAGTGGTTTTGGAGCCTCATGACCAAGGGTACCCTTGTGCAGATACCTTGTCCTCGGGGTAAGCTTATTCCAGCTAGAGATTCTAGGACACTGTTGAAAAATGAGTCAATTATATTAATAGAGGTTTTATTCATCGTTTAGTTCATATATATAGAAGTATTTTATCGATGGTTGTGCCTTTAGACATCCAAACACCTACGTATCGTGTTTAGTGTACGTACATAGTATAAACACTTATGTGCTTTTGCAGTTGCATGACAAGGTAAAGAAATGGAAAGAGAATTTCTTAAAGTATGAAGAGTATTCTCCTTTCTCTATATATCAATATCCTTATTCATTACCTGGACTTGCCAGAAGATTGGTCTCCAACAACAACAATAGTAGGAAGTTGTATCCCTTCTTTGGTGATGTTGAGGCGCCTCAGGTTCTCAAGAGCATCAAGAATCGGACGTATGCGCTCATTGTAAGAAGACACAATGGGTGCAACATTTTCGGGTTCCCATGACTCGGGTTTTGGAGTGGCATTATTGAGGCCAAAGCGAAAGGTTCCTTCTCCCATTTGGTAGTGAGGTTAATTATGTAACACAACAGAGACAAGAGGAGGGTTAGAAGTTCGAAGGAAATGAGACAAAAGAGTTTAAGTTAATGTGAGGAATGCTGCGTTTCATGTTGAGTTTACTTGTCTGGTGTATATATTATATAAACTTGTTTGGAGGAAAGTGGATGGACTTGCTTAAGAAGCAACGAGGGAGAAGGAAGTGAGAAACGATGAAACATTCTCTTGACTCCTTCACGGCTAAGGTACCCCTTTTCTTCTTCCTTTTTCCTGCACATGATTCCTCGTCTCTACTTTTGTAAAAGTTTCATAATAATAATGATATTATTATTAGAGTAGATATACTAGAGACAATATAATTTTATTGTATAGTATTAGGAATTTGTGAATTAATTAAAAGATATGATAATTTTGATGAGTGTCTCATAATTGTTTCCTTTAATCTTAACATAACTTTTTTATTAGTTGTGAGGGTAGATTTTGAACTCATTGTATTCAGAAAATAAAATAAAATAAACACATAACACCCATCCATAACTCCTATTACAAGTGATTAAAAAAAAAAAGGAGTTTTGGTAGGATGTGGTGTTTCTATCACCACACGTGTATTAAACCTATTGGTATGATTTCAAAAACAGTATACTGTTGACCATTAAAATGAGTTTTAACACAATATATATGCAACTTGTCATATAAAATAGTGACATAAAATATTTAATAATCTGAAAAATAATGTACTTTTTTATCATAAATACTTTCTTAATAATTTTCAAGTAAATGGTATAGATATTACTGATTATATAGATAAAGAGAATCTTAACTATTTCATTCATGTTCCGACGCAACAAGGTACGCTTCTGAAGTTGCATTTATAATTTTTGAGCATGTTCGGTTGAGATAAATCAACATCAAATTTATTTTCAAAAATGCGTTGAACTGCATAAAACTTCTTTTAAGTTAAAAAGTTAATCTCAATTTCTTTACTAACTTTAAATATAAATTAATTTTTCTTTAAGTTTTTTTCATAGAGTAGACATTTTCCAACCCACAAATAAATTCTAAGCTAATTAACTCACGCAGTGAAATAAATTTCATCTCATTCAATATAATATTTTTTAATGCATATAATTCGGAATCTAATTTAGTCTACTTGACAGATTAAATTATCTATTAGTTATATAAAAAATTTAATGACTTTAAATTTTAATTTTAACTTCTCTACTGTATAGTTAACTTTATAAATATAAAAGTGATTTATAATATAGTAAAACCAAAATTACTTAAAAACAAAATTAAACATTTTATTATAAATCTCATATTTAAATTACTTAAAAATTAATTAAAATTATTTATATAAATAATTTTCTTTTAATTTTAAACACTTTTGCCTCAATATAAATTGATTTTTCTAAAGACGCGTGGAATCGTATTCACAATAAATGGTGACTCCGAGGTGTGGTGCTTTCCTGCGCCACACAACCCGATACCCATTATTGTACGGAAGGTCTACGACGACTCAACAAGTCAATGATATTTTTTATTATTCTCTTCAAATTACTATGTTTTATCGTACATATAAATATATTATCATAATTTATAATAAAACTACTATAACTATTTTTACCAAAACACTCTATAAAATACTATGATTTTAAGATTATAACCTTTGTTTTTATTTTTTAAGAAAACAAACAAAGAAAAAAAATATATTTTTAAAATCAAAACATAAAGTGTGAGGAGAGGGGTGGCTGGTGAGGCTTATAGTACCAATCTTGGAATCATATGTATGTCATTCCCTTGTATTTTTTAGCCAAGGAATCATAGGCTGGTAAAGCATAAAGTTAGAACGCCTGATGTGAACTTGTGACTACTTTTTAGCCAAGGAATCATCGTTATTGGAGGCTACAATAATTTGTAGTACGGATTGCAAAAGATAAAATTTAAAATATTGTTCTACTTCTTCCCTAAGTAGTCGACACTCTGAGTCAACAAGTGACGTTTCATCACAACTTGTGTCTGCACAATTCTTACCTGCTTAGTTCCTTCTTTCTTAAGAAACCACCATGATATGCACATACTCAGCCTAGTCGATTCTATGATCACATCCAGAGGTGCTTTTATCATAAAAAAAAAACTTATAACCGTGGGATGATTAAAAAACAGCGAAACGTATTCATGGTCTTAACTTCCTTAGGAACATCCTTTTTAATGTTTTTAGTTGGACGATCTTTTAGATCTATTGTTTAATGGCTAGCTTTGTATTAAATATCTATTCTATCTTTTCCTCATCATTAATATATATATATATATATATATATATATATATATTCTTATATTTATATTCTATAAAATAATATTAATTTTTCACATTAATATATATATATATATATATATATATTCTTATTATTTATATTATATAAAATAATATTAACTTTTCTTACCGTGTCTCTTTATCCTTCTATTCTCCCCTTTTATAATAATATTAATTAAATTAATTTTCTTTTTTAATATTGTTTCTAGACAATATAATAATTGACAAAAAAAATGATATTATATTTTAATATAAAAGTTAATTTATATATTTTTAATATTTTCACTAACTAGTCTCATGAATATATTTAATATGTTTGATTTGGACATATATTCAATAATTATTTATTCGTCTTTGATTAATTACTTTTTTATATGTATTTCGAATGATTCAAAATTTTACATGAAAACCTTTTTATTTTATTTTAAAGATATTACTCATCAATAATTTTATATGAAAACATTTTTTAATTTTAAAGATATTATTCATCAAACCAACAATATTGAAACAACCCAACAAAATATGATATTATTGAAATAAAACATTAGCATGTTTTAAATGTCACTCTTATCATGTTTTTTATTTTATTTTAAATTTACTTTAAATTTATGGTGTTTTGCATTCAAACATTTTATTTTTTGATCAATTTTATTCGATCCATTATCTAGATAACAATTCGTTCTATGATTGATTATACCTTAAATTTCTCAATATGAGTAATCTTCATATTTTTTGTTATCTTTTTTTTATTAGCATTTTGACTATCCATAAAAAAAGTTAGATAATTGAGTCAATCCAAGTATTTTTATTGGATTACATCCTAACACAAATGCTACATTGTTTACAATCTTAAGACCAATAACGTTGAGATTTTTCAAAATATAACTTTTTATGAAAATGTTTTCCCTTCTAATAAAGAAAATAGTAATAAAAATATAACCCCAACATACTATATCTATTCGGTCTAATTTTTATAATGACCACACCAATCACAATGTTTCCACTCATACTACTAATGATACTAGGTCTTATGGCGATATCACGATATTACTAATGATGTTCAAACTTGTAGTGATATTTTATTTGGTAACACTGATTCCATAATATGGATGTTACATTGATGATTTGATCTATTGATAAGTCTTGGCATAACTTATGATGCTCAATTTTCACTTGTCTCAGCACCATGACCATGATTGACCTATTGGTAATACTAATATCATTGAAAATGCTTGATCATTTGGTGATGTTCAATTTCCTATCATTAAGGACAATAGGACTAGGCTACCAAGCCATCTTATAGATTACCATGTCGCAACACAAGTTCAAATACGGGTATTCACTATCTTATTACAAATTATATATCTAATGAAAGATTATCGACTTTGTTCAAAAGGTTGATCACTAAACTAACATTAACATAAACATCGAGCAACTTCCTATAAAGAAGCATGATACACGAAGTTCATGTTCTTGAAACAAATCAAACTTGGACAATAATCGAGCTTCCTCCAAACAAATTGGCTAAATGGGTATATAAAATAAAATACAAAATTAATGATTCTATTGACAAAACAAGTCTTGTGGTACAAGGTTACACTTAACAAGAGGAATTCAATTATAATAAGACATTATCTCCAGTAGTGAAGATCATCATCGTTCAATTATTACTCTCGTTCGTTGTTATCCATAATTGACATCTAATTGATGTCAACAATGTCTTTCTACATAACAACCTAGATGGAGAAGTACACATGAAAGATTTTTTTGGTACTTGTTACAGTGCACAAAAGGTTTATCATTTTCAAAAATATCTTTACAAATGAAAATAATTTAGTCGTGAATGATATACAAAACTCTCAACTTTCTCATATCTAATAACTATAAATAATCATATGTCAATAATTCATTATTTCTAAAGATTGTTGACACTTGCATAACAACTCTCATTGTGTATGTAGATAACATTGTTTTGACTAGGAATAATGCTAATGAAATGTCTCTTATTACTTGAAAAATAGGCAAGACCTTTGAGAGATCCCACCTACTTTCTTGATTTTGAATTTGCTTGAAACCGTTCTGGTTTGCATATCTCATAATGTAAATACACTTTTGACCTCTTTATTGATAGTGGGATGCTTGCATCTGCCCCATCTCCACTCTCAACCTATTTCATGAAGATCCCTACAAATAATATTAACATTCTTCCCAATCCAACCACTTACCAATATTTGCCTCGTCTACTTGACTAATACTAGACTGAATATCATTTATATTATTCATCACTTATATTAATTTGTCAACGTTTCTACTGTGACATACTATCAAGTTATCCAATGTGTTCTTTACTTCCTAAACTCGCACTAAAAAAAATGCATCTTCTTTAACAAAAATAACAACACCTTATTAAGAGTTTTTTTTTTTTTATTCTGGACCTCCTGTCCTTATACCGATGTTCTACTACTCCTTACATTATTTATCTTAATAATTTTTCATTACTTGGTGCTTCAAGAAACAAATTACTATTTCAAAGAGCTCAATTAAAGTTAAATACTAATTATAATGACTGACATACCTTTTAAACAATCTAATTACCTTCAACTGTATTATTCATTAATGAACCAAACATACTAACATAAACTGTCCTATGAGAAAAAATTTATAATGGACCCATAAAATTCTTCCTTGTCTCTTTAAACTACAACAAACCGACATTTTAACCAAAATATTATCATTAATTTGGTTCAATAATCTATATTTTAAGCTAGAATTACCGAAGATACACTCTCAACTTACGAGGAGCTCTTAACTTCCTTATGTAGATTCCTTTCCCATGCCCTAAATTAGTCCATTTTTATATTTTAAATCGATCATTTTCCGTCTTAAATAAGTGCTAACGAAAAGTTTTATTTATTACAATGAAACATTTATTATTATATTATATATATTATTATATTACCTACAATAATATTAAATATTCCCTCTCCTTTTCTTTTTCTTTTTCATGTTGTGCTTTTTTTTTTTTTCTCTTTCGTCACATCGAATAATATTACCACAAAGTAGATAAGAAAAACTCAGCTTTACACAAAATGCTTAATTCGGTAACGAAGCTGAGCTCCAACTGTATTTAATGTACATTGCTCGGTCAAGAGAGTCATACCTCAATCTCTGACTCTTTCTGATTGGACTAGGGAACGCCACGTTGCTTCACAACACCTGCCAAGTCATCACGAAGAATATCAACAAGGGCAGAGGGTGGGTCCGAAAATCGCTTCGCACCAGATTCCAAAGAGTGGGAGTGTCCCAAGCGAGCCAAGCGATCAGCCGCACGATTGGATTCTCTAAACACGTGCGAGAACTCCACCAACCAATCCTTCCGAACGAGCTCATTGATCTCCGAAACCACTGCAAAAGCTGGGTCGTTAGCCACTGGACAGTGCCTAACCAGACCAAGAGCATGACCCGAATCAATGTCCACTTTCACCTTCTTACAACCAAGATCCCACGCCAACTTCAGACCGTGAACAACCCCCCACAACTCCGCTAATGTCACCGATGTCGACCCCAAATTAACACTGAAACCACCTAGAAAACATCCTGCGGAATCACGAATTAGACCTCCACAAGCACCTCTGCTACCCCCTGTTCGCTTGTTCTCAAACACCGACCCATCCGTGTTCAGACAATCCCACCCACTAGGTGGACATCTCCACGTGCACCATATAGGAACCTTAACCTCTGAATTTGAGGTATTATTGGAATTGGGATCATCTCTTAGATACCTTCCTAACTCCTGCTTCTTGTACTCAAACTCCTCTATCTCAGCCAACTGGTTATTCTCTAGCCACTCTATGGTTTCTTCCACTGCCTCTTCGATCCTTCTCGCTCTCTCCCTCATTTCATAAGCGAAATTCTCAAGCTCGTTCTTCGCCTTCACCTTCCTCTTCCCCACCTCGTCCTCTGCCTTATACTTCTTTGAATCCCTCACCATTCTTCTTATCTCTTCCGGGTTCAACCTTCCGTGCTTGTTATTCATTGTGATCTTTTTTAACCCTGTGGCTTTGTCTTCCGCCGTGACCCCCACGATGCCATCAGCATCCACGTCAAAGCTAATCTTGATCTGTGGGACTCCCTTTGGCGATGCCCCGAACCCAGAGAGGACAAACTTCCCGAGAAAGAAGTTGTCTTTTGTCTTGACTCGTTCTCCCTCGAACACTTTGACCGTGAGGCTTTTCTGATTGTCGTGGAAGGTGGAACAAACCCTCTCCTTCTTGGTGGGGATCATGGTGTTCTTGGGGATCAACACTGACATAGCACCCCCGGCACCCTCAATTCCTAGACTAATTGGCATCACATCCAATAACAATAATTCCTCCACTTTTTTATCTCCCCCACCGTTCAAAATTGCTGCTTGAACCGCAGCACCGCACGCCACGGCCTCGTCAGGATTGATGCTTTTGCAAAGCTCTTTGATGTTACCATTGACGCTAAACATGTCCTTCAGAAGTTGTTGAACCTTTGGAATTCTAGTGCACCCACCGACAAGAACGACCTCATGAACTTGGATCTTATCAATCTTTGCCTCAACCAGGCACTTTTCCACTGTTTCCATACACTTAATAAACAAGTCTTTGTTCAGTTCCTCGAACAAGGCCCTCGTAACAGTGACATATAGATCAATCCCTTCATATAAAGAATCAAGCTCTATCATGGCCTGGGAAGTGGAAGACAGAATCCTCTTAGCTTTCTCGCATGCTGACCTTAATCTTACCAAAGCTTTTGCGTTCCCGCTAAGATCCTTCTCGTATTTCTTTCTAAACACATCCACGAGATGGTTCACCAATTTGTTATCAAAATCCACGCCACCCAAATGAGTATTTCCCACCGTGGCCTTAACCTTGAACATCCCTTCATCAATTGTCACCAGGGAAACATCAAATGTGCCACCACCGAGATCAAACACAAGCACGTTCTGCTCGCCCTCTCTGAATCTTTTCTTGTCCAATCCATAAGCAATAGCAGCTGCGGTGGGTTCATTGATGATCCTCAACACATTCAAGCCAGCGATTTTCCCAGCATCCTTCGTGGCTTGTCTCTGTGCGTTGCTGAAATAAGCAGGGACAGTGACAACCGCATCCTTCACCGCGTGACCCAAATAGGCTTCCGCAACCTCCTTCATCTTAAACAAAACCATGGAAGATATCTCTTCTGCTGCAAGGTGCTTCTCTTCGCCTTTGTAGGTGACCGCAATCATTGGCTTGTCTCTGGCCCCTGGAACAACCTTAAAGGGCCACAGCTTCATGTCTTGCTGAACAGATATGTCGGAAAATCTGCGACCGATCAAACGTTTGGCGTCGAAGACAGTGTTGTGAGGGTTCATGGATCGCTGGTTCATGGCATCATCGCCTAACAACCTCTGAGTGTCGGTGAAGGCAACGTAGGAAGGGGTAGTGCGGTTGCCTTGGTCGTTGGAAATGACTTGGACACGGTTGTGTTGCCACACTGCTACGCAGCTATAAGTTGTGCCCAAGTCAATGCCTATGGGTTCGACCTTTGTTGTGGCCATGGCAAAGCTTAGCAGTTTAGAGAAGAGATTAGGGAAACACAGAAAGGGTATTACTTTGGTTGAGGAATAGTGGATGTCATTGATGAATTAAAGGGGTAAGTAAGATCGGTCTGTTCAATTTCAGAAATTGGGGAACCTGCTTCGAAAGCAGCCTCAAGAAAATTGGGACAACGATGGACCGAATTGGTAAGGAGAAGGCGCTTTAGATTTCGAGGAGATAGCTATAATTAAAAAATATTTTCTTTGTTTATATATTTAAAAATATTTTAAAATTTTCCACATGTTTTTTAGCACCTATTAAACTTTAGGAATTCAAAATTATACAAACTAAGAAGATCTATAAAGAAACTAAAATAACTATTCTTTTTAGTTTATAATCTAAGAGAGACAATAAACTTGTAAGTTTAAAAATGAAATGAATAATTAAACCCCTAACAAAAATATTTCACACGACGTATATCATGATATAAATCAACAAGGTCCAAATCTCATTTAGAGGCATAAATTGACAACGGAAATAAAAACAATGAATTTTGTTCTGGTAATCAATTTGCCTTCTAGATTTTGCATACCTTTAATATCTTTTTTTTTTTTTAAATGCCAAATAAGTTAAACTCTCAAAAAACTTTTAAGATTAGGAAAATCTTTTTGGTTCACCAAGTTTATAACTTCCCTTACTAAGGGTGACACAGTAATTTAAGGAACTCAAAAAATCTTTAATCCATAAATGAGCTTGGGAATCAATTTCTTGGAGACCCAATTTAGTTACCTTGGTCATTCCAATATAGCACAATCAGATGCAACATGACGAATAATACTATCACTATTGAATAATGGTGAATTTACATGTGTTGAGTACAAATAAGTCACGTATGAGTCTTTGGAGTAAAAAATTAAACAAATAAGAATCAACAAAAGTAATTAAAAAAATTCGAAGTTGTTCTATAAAATAATTTAACGAAGATAGTTAACTTTTGAAATTGAGGAGTAAATTATGAAAAAAAAATTGTATTATAGACCATTCATTTATAATATACCAATTTTGCATGGTTAATGTGAAAGTGTATTTAGGTTATTTGATTAAAATCTCAAATTCGAGTTATGTTAATGAAAAATAATTATAAAAATATATATTATATTCAAAGTTGTGAAATGTTGTGTTAATAGAAGATTAATAATTAAATATTTCGTATTTATAATGGGTATATAAATAAAAAATGATAGGAATCAAAGTTGTTGAAAGTCACGTCATCTATCTCATGTCATTTGATATGTTTAAATACATGTTAAGCTACTCTACATGTTTGTCAATTGATTTTAGGTTGGAAACTTAACAAAGTAATCGTATAAAAACCCATTATTTATAATTAAAATAAAAGATGAGAACATATAAATAAAACAATAATAAAATTTTACTATTGAAATAAATTGGAAGAAATTTGGAGTGATTTACAAAATAAACATTATGCTCCTTTTATAATTAGAAAAGTAAACACCAACCTATAATTTTTTTTATGTGAGTCTTCTCTACTCACATTCTCACAAAATTTGTCGAGTCTTTTCGTAGGGCTAATAACGGGAAGATTCTCACCAATGGAACCTAAGTCAACCATATAAGAGAATATGATATCACTCTCAACAAAAAATCTAAGGTAATAGGTTTTTCTCATCACTTATAAATTTCTATCCAACGTGGACTTCAAACTCACAAATGAAATCTGAGGAGAGTGATATTCAATTTAAAGACAAGTTAACGAGTCCGAGGAAACTAACAATAAGGAGATTCTCGCAAATGAAATTCGAGTTAACTATATAAAAGAATATGACATCTCTCTCAACCTAAAACCTTAAAACATTAAGTTACAAGTTAAGATACTCAATTTTTTTATTTTTACCTAATGTCTTCAAACTTGAATTCTAAAAAAAATTATTATTAATTTATAATATGATGTATTTTAATTCAAATTAATCAATACTACATTTATTTACGTGAAAGTTTTTTTT